CCCCTCTCCCACGCCCGATTGATTGATCGTACCACATCCCACGGCAGTGTCATTCATTCAACACATGAAACTCACAACAAAGAAAGAACGAACCAAGCAGGGGAGGTGAGATACGCCAACCGATAGATAGAGACATAGATAGATAAGACACACTGACTGCATAAGACCCGCCCACCCACCTAGCTGTACAACACGTCCGTCGCCCGCCCGCCCGTATCCATCCATCCATTCCGCTCAATACCACCACAACACATGTAATGGTGGATCTGGATGGATCCATCCATCCACCACAAGATGTGTGTCGTGGCGATAAACGGAATTGAATGCATACGTCCATCGGGGAATTGAATTATGCGTGTGTGTGTGTGTGTGTGTGGAGTCAGTGACTGAGTGGCTGAGTGAGTGAGTGAGTGACGGGTTGACCGTGCTATGCCGTGCAGCAACCAACCAGGCCACCACCACCACCACCACCACAGATAAATAAAGGCAGGCACACGCGCAGGGAGCTGAGCTATATACACACCCACACCACCCCCACCCCACACAACCCCCACAGTACTCGCCGCACTCGGTCTTTACACGCTTCCGCTGCAGCAGCCGAGGGATTGACCAAGGGTCGTGTGGGCCACGCGTGCCATCACCAAAGCAACACCAACACACAGACAGACAGAGAGACAGAGAGAGACAGGAAAAAGCGCCCGGGCGCCCGCCTTGTCGCCATGCGGGCCGCGCACACACACAGACACAACACAAAGACAAACACAAAACACGCACACGCAGAGAGACAGAGAGAGAGGGAACACATGCAGGCACGACAAATACACGCCATCAACTCCACACACACACACATGTACGAGGTATGCACTGCACGCATGTACATGCCCAAGGATACATACACCAATCAATCAATCAATCAATAAAACACACACCCATCCAGCCCTATATCCCACCCTTGTATATATCCCATGCCATGGATGATATCCTACAGCATCCATCCATCCATCGGCACATACACATCCGTCCGTCACTCCTTCTGGACAGATCTCACTTCCATGACCACCTGAGCAGCCATCTTACCGCCACCAGCCTCCCTCGCTCCCTCCCCCTCTGCCTCACCCTCCCCCTGCCCCTCCTGCCAACCACTCCCAGGCGGCTCCGGCTCTTCAATCACCAGCAGCTGGTCGATGTGCGTCCGGCACACGGGGCAGCACGGCGGCTCAAACCGTCGCCGGCCTTTCGTGAACGGCAGCACCAGGATGATCGCTGCACACTCCACACAGCACCCGCCATGCCCACACGGACCGAACAAAGCCGTGGGCGTGTTGGCGAAACACACGCCGCATGTGGCTTTGCGGGAGGGCGAGTGGCTGGGGGAGCCAAACGGTGAGGCGGATATCGGTGGAGCGAACAGCTGACTCGCCGGTAAGACTGGGAGGGGGGTGAGCTCCTGGGGGGAGTCGCCGACGCGTATCGCGGGGAGGGCGGGGGCGGGGGCGGCTGGCTCGCCGATGGGTGTGTTGACGGGTGTGGGGATCTGGACGGGGGTGTCGGTGAGAGAGGGGGCGGTGGGGGCGGTGGGGGTGATCTCCTGGCCGGCATCGGCCTTTGCTGCTGCAACGGGGTCGACGAACTTGAAGTAGGTGCTGTTGATCCGTTCGATGGGGATGGTGTCGGGGAAAGACGCCACGCGACACTCCACAAAATCAGCCAAACCTGCATGACATGATCGAGTTCACCAAGCCACATGCACAACAAACCAGGCACAACCACGTCAGTCACCCCGCCCGCCCTCCCTTCCTCACCGCTCATTTTGTGGATCTCGCCCTCTTCCGGCAGATCGACCAGATCGCCCTCCCACACGCTGTCGCCATCGCTCGCCACGTACGGCAACACACACGGCGACACAAAGATGGCGTACGTCGGCGCCACATCGCCTCCGCCATTGTTGTTGCCCCTCGGTCTTCGGGAGATTGAGCGGCCGCTGGGGCCTAGCCGGCTCAGGCCGTATGCCAGAGCCCCTCGCTGCTGTGCCTGCGCGTATCGGCGGTAGACGCGTGACAGGGGCATGGGATGATTGGCATCGTCGCTGCGGCCTCGTTGAGCGCATCTCCGACTTCGCCAGAAGACGTAGACTAGGAAGGGCAAAAACAACCTGCAGCGCAGCGCGCACACACAGATAGAGCGAGCAAGTGACACAGTTGGCTTGAGATTCCTTTCCTCCCCCTGCGTACCCGTAGAAGAGCACAAACCCGAAGACTTGTCCGTGAGATCCCCTCTCGTGCCTCCCCAACCTCCTCTGCTCAGCCACCGTGTCTGGGGCAACGAGCTGCTCGGCGGTCAACCCCTGTTCCTCCGTGTGTGTGCGCGCCTCGGCCATGAAGCCGCAGGAGGTGTTGTTGCCGCATGAGGTGCCTTCCGCCGCATCTCTCGCCGCCGCCGTCCGGATGTGCGGGACGTGCGCAGAGGCATCACGCGAGAGGACTAGCACGGCCAAGACAAATGCCGTCGTCACAAAACCGCTGGTCATGATCACACTAACATCATCTCTTCCTCTCCTTGTGCTCTCGTGGTCTCGGTTGTCGCGGTGGGTTGTTGCGGTTTCACGGGGGAAGACCCTAGGCCTTTTGCGAGCTGGGAACGACGAGGGACAGAACGACAACAGGAAGAATGCGGCGAGAACGACAGTCTATCTATCTAAACTGCCATCGCAAATATAATCGCCACGAGTGAGTAACGATGCGACGCAGACAGAGCCCGGTGCGTATTGATTCACCGGTTCCGCAAATGTGCGTCTGCTGGTGTGCTTCGCAGGTCTGCAGCATTGTAGCGACCGTCCTTCTTCCTGCTGTCTGGTCTGTCGGCACTGATTCACGGATTGACTGACTCACCATGGTAGTGAGTGAGAATCCCCACGTGGTGCACACAGGGCTGAATGGCGGCCGTCCGGCGACGCCCAATGCACCCTCCTCCGCCCTGGAGCCGCCCCTCTCGTCCCTGCAGATCCCCGCCAAGCCCTCCCACTCCCCCTCAGCCACATCCGTGTCATCCATCGACTCGCGATACGAGTCGCCCCTTCCCGCCGAGGGCCTCTCGCCCATCGTCGGACTTGGGTGGTTCCTCATGGCCTGCGTCGTGGGCTATGTCGTCATCTGGCCCTTCAGCGACGTGCCGCTGCGGAGCATGCTGATGCTCGACTCGCCGTGGTTCTTCGCGTGGTATGTCGGGCTGGTGCAGCTGCAGGCGGCCGTGTTCTTGGTGAGCAGAATGGCTATCAGGGCCCTGGGGGCAAAGTACAAGGACGAGCAGAAGGCTGACGGCTGGATACTGACCACGGCCAGTGGGGTGGTGCTCACTGTGTGTGGCGTCTACGTCATCCCGGTGACGCTGGCAGAGGGCGACCTGCTGGGGGCCGGGTTTCGCGCGGTGGTTGCGAGCAACCCGACGGCACTACAGGTGGTGTGCGTGCTGTTTGTGGCGGCCCTGCACACGGACTGCGTGCTGGGGACGCTGTTCTACCCGCGGACGATCGACGTGCTGTCTGGGTGGGTGCACCACGGCGTGTATACGGTCATCATGCTGTATGCTCTGGCGTCCAAGCAAGTGTGGATCTTCATGCTCTTCGGCATCGACGAGATACCCACTGTCATGCTCGGAATCGGTGAGAGAAAGAGAAGACAGACGCACACACACACACACACAGAGAGAGAGAGAGAGATGGAGAGGAGAGATGAGCACTGCACATCAGACACCAACATGGATGCTTTCCGTTCGTTTCATTGCGTGTGCGTGTGCGTGTGTGCGTCCCCTCGCTCACTCACTCACTCTCTTTCTCCCAGGCAACATCCACGTGCCGTGGCGGTTCGACTGGTCGTTCGGCATCGCCTTCTGGCTGACGCGTGTGGTGTGGCACACCTGTGTGCTGGGGCTGCTTCTCTACCACCGCATCTGGATGGCCGACGTACGCTTGTCGGTGACGCTGGTGTTCGTGACGCTCTCCCTCGCCATGCACTGCCACTGGATCACCAACTGGGCCAGCAAGAAAGTCAAGAACCATAGAAACAAGAAGAAGGAGGGCAAGGGGGAGTGAGGGAGGGAGGGAGGAGGGAGCGAGGGTACCCGGATGGGATGGGTTTGCCTTTTGGGCTGGTTCGTCCTTTCGGCTATTCTCGGTTCTACTGAATTACTGTATGGCTCTTCTCATGGCGGATTTCTCGGTGTGATGCGTGTGGGTTCGGTTCTTGCGTGGCTCTTTTTGCTCCGTCGGGATGGGGATACGTGACAGTGTTCCCTCTTGTCTGAGGGAACGGTGCCCCGTTTGCCCTCCTCTGCCTTGCCAAAGGGGACCAGCAAGAAACCGCGACACCCGTTCATATGCTGTTCGTATGTATCGGTCAGTGAGTGCTGTCTGTCTGTCTGTCTGCATTGTACAGTGAAGCTGTCAGCGGTTTTGATAGGCTATTGTGTATGTATGTCTGTATGTCTGCAGGCAACCCAACCCAACCCAGCCCAACCCCTTCCCTCCTGCCTGTCTGTTATGTATGTACTCGTACATATTTGTTGCAGCCTAACCTAGTGTGCCACTCGAGGAAGGAAGGAAGCGACAGGGAAGGAAGGCCCAGGGAAGTTTTGGCTGCTTGAGAGAGAGAGAGAGAGTGTGCGTGTCTGTGTCCGGCCGGACAATTGATTGATGGATGGCTGACAGAGGGACAGGACAGCTCGCGAGCTACCGGTTTCTAAGTGTGTACCGATGCTGCTGCTGCTGCTGCTGACGATGATGTTTTTCCTCTCTTCTTTTCTTCCCTCCTCCCCAGCCACAGACAAGGAGACGAAGGACGGAAGAGCACTTTTTTGCCTGCCTGAAGCTGCTTCCATGACGCCCGCACGCACGCACCACCCATCCACCCACACAGGCTGGCCCACGTCCTGTGTGTTTACGCGCTATTTGGTCAGTCAGTCAGTCAGTCTTTGCTGTGTGGGGCTGCGTGCGTCTTGTAAGAGTGAGTGCAAGATGGATGGATGGATGGATGCAATTGTGCATGCGACACGGGTCAGGCGCACGAGTGGTGATGAATACACACATCCACTCAGAAAGAGCCACGTACGTGTCATGAGGTTTTCAGCAGAGGAGGAATCGCAAAAACACATACACAGATAGACCCACCCGCCCCCCCACCCACCACACACGGCACGGCACGGCACGGCATGTGAGTCCTGGGCTCGCTAGCAGCCGATATCAGAGCAAAGACGTCCACCTGTCCGTCTGTCTGTCTACCTGAGTAGTCCGGGAGGCATTGGCAGGCCCGTCCCCGGCCCACTAAGTGTGGGCAGGGCGGGCAGCCTGGCGTCAAGGGGAGCCAAGCGAACACCCGCCTTCACCCTGCACACATTCACACATTCACACATAGCTACACACAGATTACATAGTGTGTGTGTATGTGTGTGGTGCTTACCTCGCCCGCCCCTGCTCGCTGAGCGCCCCAAATCCTGACACATGGCGCAAAGCAAATACACACATCCATCCGTCAATCATTGGCGGGTCCCTTCTTGTTTTCTTTCGTTAGTTAATCGATCCCCACCGGAAGCCTGCATTGGTGCGGGTCCGCCCACGGCCGGCTGAGACTCCGCAGGGGCGAAGGGAACAGGTTGCTGAAAGGACAGACGGAGGAGTGAAAGCCATTTACACACAGACGTACAAAGGGAGTGGGTGAGGCGCGGAGACGCCATACCGGTGCAGGCGAGAAGTGTCGCTGCTCATCTGTGGGGCTGCCTTCCCCGTCTGTCGCTGGTGGGCGCACTGCACACGTGTTTCATGCAGACAGACAGACAGACATCTGTCTCAGTGTCAGTGGAGTGTGTGTGTGTGTGTGCGAACGTTTTTTCTTTTTCTTTTTCTTCTTTTGGTGTCCGCCGTCACTGAGCACCCCCGCGGCATCGCTCAGCACGCCCTCGTCTTCCATGTACTCATAAACATGACCTTCAGACCTATACATAGCACAGACACAAAGGCAGAGAGGCAGAAAGACTCACAGAGAGATGCACACACCACACCACCCACCCATGGAAATGGGCAAAGGACACTACCACCCACCCACCAGCCACACACATGCCTTGCCTCTCCCTACTATATTAGAAGCTCACTTTCTCTCCTGCGGCCTCTCTCTGGCGGCCTGGACAGGCGGCTCCAGCTCCGTCCGCCACTCTGATGTTGCAGCCGCTTGCCTCGCTCCCCTTATTCTCCTGCCCTGCCCGGGTGGCAGTGTGTCCTCCCCCCTGTCGGCGGATGTCGCGGCTTGTGGCGGTGCCGACGGCCGTTGCGGGAGGGATCGGTCCTGCTCGTCGTCTGAGGGCTCCTGCAGGGATGACAATGGCACACCTGATCAACACACACACACACACACACACAGAGAGAGAGAGAGAGGGAGAGAGGGAGAGAGGGGGTGCTACATGTGCTGGGAGAGTGTGGATGTTTTTGAATTTTGTGACTACCTGACCTGCATGTTGTGCGCATATCTTGAGTGTCTTTTGTTTGAGGGCGTAAAGGGCGAATTTGGGCGGCCTGGGGTCAGTCCAGTAGCTCTTGCCGTCCCGTTTGTTGTAGTAGAAGAGCTGTCCGCCGCTGTCGGTGTGCTCCCCCCACTCCTTCATCGCACGCTGCACCTGCCGCTCACACTTGGCCACCTGATCCCGAAGCTCATAGAGCTTGTCCAGCCTGCGACCACACACAACACACAGAGGCCCTCGTATACACGCAGTGCGGGCGTCTCACAGGCGATCGATCTCATGTTGGTTTGCGTACTGTTCTTGTGCGGTCATTTCTGTTTGGTTTCTGAAGGTCCTGATCTCCTTGTATGTGTCTCTGTAGAGGCTTTCCAGTGGGTGGATCCAGGTGCTGGTGCGCGTGGTGGCGTTGTAATAGAAGATCCGGTCATTGCTGTCAAAATGCTCCGTGTAGTCTGCGCGACGTCATTCGCCCAACGGGCCACATTCAATACACACACACGCGCCCGTTTTGTCCCATTTGTCTGTCACCTGGTGGTAGCGGTGCTTTGAGGCACTCCTCTGCTATCCACATCAGGTCGGCATCGGTCACGGCGTCGATACCCAGATACCTGCGCCATTCCACCACACACACACTCAACACACACCATGGCCCAAGCAAGTACAGTGTGCTCAGCCTTCCCGCAGGCACCTTGCGTACGCAACTAGCTCAGGTCCACTCGGCCTGATGCCGCCCTGCTTGGCCTTGCTGACGAAGTCGTTGACTGTTGTGGACTTGGTCGACGCCACAGCTGAGGACGGGCTCTCTGTGCCTTTCTGGTCGCTGACTCGCAGGGGGCTGCGGCTGGCGGCAGCAGGACTGTCGCTGGCCTTGCCATCCTGCTTCTTTCTGCCGAATATGGGCATTCTCGAGAACGGAACCGAACGGAGGTAACTGTCCCCGCGTGGCCCCAAAGCTGTGATCTGGAATTGTTGGAGGCAATGGATTGGTTGGCGCTCCTCGCGTGCAGCTTGTGGATGGCCGTTGCTAAGGGACTCAGCACCAGGGCACCGGATCCCCTTCAGGCACCTGCGGACCGATACCATGTAGCGGACCAGAAAGAAGAGGTGATCGAGATGCGTCCGATGGCTATGCAGTGCACGTGGATCAATTCGTGAATCTTGTATACGTACCCGTACAGGAGCTCCGTTACCAGCTGAGCGTGGCTGTGGATGAGGCCCACCAACACCTACAGGACGTATGTAGGCAGCTGCCGACCGCCCTGCATCAATGAGATCTCTTCATGGTCGTGTCGTGCGTGTTGGCTGCACAGGTGGCGTCCATAATGCATCAGAAGGTCGTCGAACAGGACAACATCAGAGCACTTGGTGGTCAGAGAAGACACTCATCGATGAGCAAGACAACAATGCGTCAGTGGTTTTGCAGGCGAGATCCATCGCTTGGCGGGCAAGAAGGCTAACGTGGAGGCCCGCATCGCACGTAAGCTGGCCGCAAGATCGCTGAATAGCTATGCATAGCTATCACTGTGGCATGGCGCGCCCCCAGATCTGAAGGACCGCGTCCACCAAGCCATGTCAACCAAAATCAAAGTACGTAAGTATGTAGACCTGGTATCCACACGCATGAATCGGCTCCTCTGGCTGGCCTGTTTCTCGCAGCATGCTCAGATGATGCATGCCGACACGGCCAAAGAGGTACAGAAGTACCTCTTCACAGTCGACGCTTTGAAACGTACGCTGATCGAGAGAAGACACACACCTAAACACAATTTCATGGGAATTGTTCTGATGCAGAGGCAGCGAGACACTACCACGAGGCGGCGAGAGATGCCATGCACAAGAAGGACCTAGTGGGGCAAAGGAAAGGACCACGGCACGAGCAGACGCTCGCCTCCTCTGTGCGTGTGCATATGTGCAGTCGTCGACAGCGATGAAGGAGGCATGGGACAGACTGAGCGAGGCGCAGAAATCGTTCAAGGAAGCCAAGAACGCGTACAAACAAGCACGCGAAAAAGTAACCTCAATTAAAGCCTAACACGTGATGAGAATAAGCCACTTCCCTCCATGTTTGTGGTGTGGTCAGTTTGAGTCGGTCAACCAGCAGTATGGGTCAGCCCTCGCCCGCCTCAGCGGGTACCAGAGGAGACTACAGGCAAGAAACATACTTAGCGCATACGCGAACTGACCAACCTTTGAAACCGGCTGGATGCTCTGTTGGTTTGGTGGATGCTCAGAGAAGGCGTGAGCAGGAGGCCCTTGCTAACGCGTCCCTCAAGAAATATCGCGACATACAGTAAGACCGACAGACAGAGAGACAACCAGACAGGCCAGGCCCTTCTTTGAATGCCTCCCTCCATGCCATGCATGCCTCACCTCAATCAGGTCAGCCGAGATCGACGAGGTCGAGAAGGCCAAAGAGGTGCGGAGACACAGACATACACGCACTCGGCACCAATTTGTGTGTCTTGGCTCGTCAGCACGCAGTGGGTAGGGTGTCGAGTGCTATGAAGGGGCTGGAAGAGAAGAAGGCCGAGGCGCAGAGAGCAGTCGATGATGCGGAACGGTGGGTGAGACACAGGGGGAGGGAGGCGCCGATTGATGTGTATGTCTCTGTGTCGCCATGCAATGAATGCAGCGAGTACGGCCAGTGGCAGGAGGGCGAGGACCAGCTGGCAAAGACGGCTGCCAAGCTTGAGGCTGATATCAACCAAGCCATAGTACCCACACCACAATGCCAGCCGAGACATACATACTTACACATATGCTCCAGTGAATGTCTGTGTGGCGCAGGCGGAGCGCACTGCAGCCAAGAGGGACTACTACACGGCCAAATACGCCATACAGACACAGCTCCTCAAACAGAAAGTGAGGCGCGCATGCACTCTCAGCACTTCCGTCCGTGCGGAAACGTGTGTGTGTGTGTGTCAGCTGATGGGCGACAGAGATGAGAGCGACTGGGCCTGGCCCGAGGGCGCTGAGGACGAGGCTGACATGGGATATGAGCCGGCCTGACTAACAGACACCTCACACCGCGGCTCATGTCTCGTGCCTTGTCAGTGCTCATTGTGTGTGTGAGCCTCACACAATCAGGTCTGTTCAGGCACACATAATGAGGGAGCATGTGTAGGCGGTGAAAGGGGGCGGGGAGAAAGGACGATCATCCATAGCAACACGATGGCAAACGTGCAGTGTCCACAGAACACAATTTGTCGGCCCCATCGCTGAGAGCTGGCTAATTCACTCACACCAGTGTGCTCCGTGCACCTGGTGATGTGTGTGTGCTGTGCTGTGGAAGCCCTCTCTGCGGTGCAGGTCTGCCGCACAATGCTTACGAACATTGCGGGAGAAACCTACACCACATGGCGTCCACACCACACCACATACACACTCACACGTGCAACCGGACACCAGGCACTCATCCACACGAGGAGAGAGACTCCCGTCGCGCCCAGATGTTATCCATCGTGCACATTCACCCACCGCATCACGCCGTCACTCATCGTTGCCACGTGTCGGATGTGCTTCGCCGCCCTGCCAATCCACCACGCTACGAGGAGGGACCGACCATCGTCAGACCGTCCTCGTCGCGTGATTCTGACAATGGTCCCTCCTCGGCGCGTGATGCACAAGAGAGGGACCACAACTCGACAGACACGACCCAGACAGATGCAATGCAAACGACCCACACACAAGAGAAAAGAGGCCACGCCCATCCGGACGGACACACATGACCATTGACGCTAGCTACACCCTCCACGTGATGTACGTGCCACCCCCACCTCTCCCCCTACCCCGGCCACCACGGCCGCGTGTGACGCCCCCACCACGACCTGCGCCACCACCACCGGCGACGGCAGCAGCAGCGGCACGCTTCTTGGCCTTCTGCTTCCGCTCCGTCACTATGTCGTTTTGATAGTTCTCCAGTACCAGCTGAATGCACACACACACACAGACGAGGCATCAATGGTTGCGTGTTGGAGTGCGTGTAGGAGTGTCGTGGCTACCTTGAAGTGGAGTAGGTCGTCAGTGCCGTGGAGGTTTCTGTTGACGCGAGGGAAGGAGTCCTTGTTCTTCGGATTGGTCTGCCAGCCCGACAGACGAACAGACGGATGGACAACACGACACCGACAGATGACATGGATCATGTGATGAGTGGGCGAGTCTGTGTGTGTGTGTGTCCCCCCTCCCCCCTCCGCCCTCCTCCCACCTTCAGACACGCGTAACACAGGGGAAATGTGGGAAACAAGCTGCCTGCAGCCGCGCGACACGACACCATACAAACATGCCGTCACATGACACACACCTCACCGGCTGGTTGCCTTACGTTTTTCTCCATTGAGTATGACAGCGGCAGGTTGGCAGCACTCGAGGCACAGCCGCTGCTTGTACAGAGTCTTCCACGGCAGCCGGCCACGAGATCTGACACACAAAACACACACATAGACACACAGAGACGACGTCTGCGACTGCTCGCGCGTCGATGGGGAGCTCACTGACCGAGTGCCGGTCTGCCATATGTTGTGACGGTCACACATATGCCTCCACAGCTGCTGGTCGGCGAGGTGTATAGCCTGGCGCCACAAGGTGGCCACACGCTCGCACACCGTGAGGGTCTTGCCGCAATCCACAAACCCCAACAGATGATGGACGCACTCGACAGATAAACTTGACGCCATGGATGGGATGGGGGGGGGAGGGGAGGGGCTGACGGCTGCTTTGTTTGTTTGTTTGCTTGACTGTAGGTAGTGGGTCTGTTGGCCAGTCAGAAGTAGAGACCGATGGACAGCAAGAGGAACATGCCACCGATACCTGCACACACATACACACATACACACAGACAGACAGACATTCAGAGATGGGCTGCTCCCTGCTGTGTGCCCGTGTCTGTCTGCCGACTGACTGACTGACCGAGGAAGACGGACGACAACAGGGCGATGACCAGCTCTTTCAGCAGGCTGCGCTCGAACTTGCCTGTTGTCACCTCGTAGCTGAAATGACCACACAACACAAGGGAAGGCAGGGCACGTACAAACACGACAAGCATGCTGATCGATCTTCCGTCTCGCGTGTGCTCATCTCTGGGCGCCTCTGCGTGTCACTTACATGAAGAACCAGGCCGCGAGCAAGGCGCCGACGAGGAGCAGCGTCCACGCGAGATTGCCAAACTGGGAGATGTGAACCAGAGGGCTGAACGGCTTGATCTCACTCACCATCTCTCGCTGCACAGGATCTCAGAGAAACTTGCCTTCCTGGTCCTCGCGAGCTAGACTTGCAGAGGGAAGAGGGTGGGAGGCGAGAGAGATAGCGGTTTTGACGTCGTTGAGAGAGAGCGTGGGACGCAGGCCACCTGCAGAAGCTTTGAAAGTGACGCATCTATCATGGCGGGCGTCATGTACCCCTTCAGCCATTCGGGCTCACTGGCAAGCCTGGAGACCCCCCTGCTGCTCGACAGCGACTCATCTGCCGCCAGCGGTGGGGCGCTGACACCCTCCCGGCGTGAGCACCGTGACCATCTCGAGCCCGGTATCGACGGCGTTCCCCTGAGACGATGCGCCACCACAGTGGGCGATGCGTACAACGTCATCCACGGCGCCGTGCCCCCAGACAGCCCCGCTATCGACGACAGCTACTCCACCAGACTGCAGGTACGTGTGGGAGAGGAAGGTGCGTAGGCAGGATTGCAATGGCGTCATCCTGGTTGGGTGTGTCACACGTGTGTGTGGCGTGTGTGCAGGCGTTGGCCGCCGAGGATCTGTCGGCCGTGCAGCGTTGTTTGCGCAGGCACCTTGAGGATTTGGTTGACAGCGGGTTCGTGTACGGTGAGATGTGGACGCCCAACGACGGAATGGCGTCGCTCTCGCGTGTGGACGGGGTGATGCGGCCCAACACGGGCGCGGGGGACGACGTCGAGAAGCTCCAGGCATTCGCCAAATTGCCCAGCGAGAAGAACATCACGTAAGCGAGATGAGATGCGGTCGGCCAGCCCAGCTAGTTTGTACATGGGCATTGGGCTGTGTGTGTGTGTCGTGTGTGCCATGTGTGTAGGCTGTCTCCCGGTGTGGGTTTGGCTGGCCGCGCGTGGCAGGAGGGAGAAACAGAGTGGAACGTCCTCGACCAGGTGAGTGGGGGGGTGCGCGGCACGGCACCACACTTACTAAACCAAAACACCTCTCACACACCACACCACACCCATGTGTTGCGTTGTGTGTGTGTGTGCGTCATGTCTGTCAGGTGTTTGACGACCCCGAGAACCCTTCCACGCCGCTGGATGCGCCGGCGAGGGAGCTGTTCCACACCTCGTGCGCGATACCCATCTTCGCCATGACCGCAGGCGGCATCAGGCAGCGGCCGCAACGACCCCAGCGACCACCACCTCGCCCTCCCCGCGCCAGGTCCGGCACCGTCCCCTCGGAAAGCGCTGCAGCTGCCGTGCAAAGTCAGTCAGTCACACACACACGCCGCACACACACACACGGGACAAGCAAACATTCCCATGTGTTTAACTATGTGTGTGTGTGTGTGGCGTCACCGCAGGTGAGATGGCTGCGGCGAGTTCTCTGCTGCAGCATCGGCACGGCGGAAGGGCGTCTATCGGCAACGTAGCGCAGTCGATGGTGCTGACGCGGCGCCGCAGCACGTTGATGTTGACCGACACACGGGAGCTCATCGCCGTGTTCGTCGTCTACACACGCAGGGAGCAACGGGTATGTACGTGCACATGTGGACGGTGGGACCACACCACACCACACCACACCACACCGCACCATCCCTCCCTCCCTGGGTGCAATTACTGATCAGGTTGACAGCGACGTGCCGGGGATGAAAGGTCCGCTGTTCGACGCCTACCTCAAGGCAGCGCTCAAGGTGGTGCAGTGGGACCTGCGCAAGTGCGGTGCCAAGGGGGCCCTCGCCCGCCATCGGATGGTCGTGGTGCACCACGGATGGCGCAAACTGCAGGAGCACTTCCGGGCTGGGGGACTCAAGGCACTCGCCGCCAAGGAGGGTGAGATGATGCGCCTGGGGGTGGAGGACTCGCAGGCGGGGATGCAGCCGTACGACCGCCGGTGGCTGATGGCGGTCATCAACGACCCCTGGGCCTATTTCAAGAAGTGGCGCGGCGCCAAGGGACACCCTGCTAAGGCACTGGTGAGCGAGACGAGGTGGGTGGGTGGGTGTCACTGACTGCTCCGAGGGTGTGGTGTGTCTGTCATGTGTTGTTTGGTGTGTGGTGCTACGTGCAGGATGACCGCCACTGTGTGTTGGCGACCGTGGAAGTTTTTCTGTCGTTCATGATCCTCACCCTCCTGCAGACTTACGCCTTCTCAGACTCGCCCGACTCGGTAGGTTACAAAACCACACACACAGACACAGAGACACAAGCGTGTATTCCCAACGACTTCGTGTGTTCAGTTCCATTTGATCGGACCATTCGGTGCGATGGCGGTCCTCTACTTCGTGGCGCCGGCCTCGCCCTTCGGCCAGCCGCGGATTCTCTTCCTGTCCACCCTGTTCGCGCTCACCGTGTCGATCGTCTTCTCCTTCATCACCGACGTCGGCAAGTCGGGGCACCCCTGGCACTACCCGATACTGCCCTTCTGGTGAGGGAGGTTGGTTGCAATGCAACCAGGGAATAAGCACACGGGGACGGACGCATAGAGAGAGGTCAAAACATCAAGAGCTTGTGTGGGTGTCTGTGTATCAGGCTTGGCGCGACCTTGTGCATGACGGTGTCGGTCGTCGGCATGGCGAAGATTGTAAGCACCACCGTCCCCCCTCGCAACACGCGATGCATTCGTCCACTTATTCCGCTCTCCTGCCTCCCTCCCTGCATGTCTGTCTGTCGTCACTATCGCTCAGGGCATCACCTGCCCCCCCGCGGCGAGCACGCCCATCGCCTTCCTGCAGGCGGCCCCTGCAGTACACCGCGGCACCTTCTGGTTCTTCGTCTCGCCCTTCCTCATCGGGTGGATCGTGCTGCTCGGCGTCGCCCTGCTGATGAACAACCTCTCGCCCAGACGGAAGTGGCCCCTCTTCTGGTGACACATGCTCAGCCCGATCCTGGGCGTCGGTCGTCGCGTTTGGCGTTTTTTGCGGCTGGCTGGCTGCACGGCTGGCTCATTCATTTGGTGCATGCGTGGCATGATGAGATGCTTCGATGGATATGCATGCCTTGATTAGTGATGCAGATGCAGTCAGTTTGCAGTTTTAGGTCAAGGGAGGGGAGGCACACAATTCGACACACACTGAGAGAGATAGAGAGAGAGAGAGAGGGGGGGGGATAGGGATAGTGAGAGAGAGCGCGTGTGGTGTATTGTATTTAATGGCTGAATGGGATGGCTGCGTTGCCATGCCAAGGGCGTCATGTCATGTCTTGTCATGTGCGGTGTGCGGTCGGGGAACGCCCCGAGCTCCCAACCCAAAAGCAAGGAGGGAGGGAGGGAGGGAGAAATTGATATACCAGGTATCTATTGATACCAGCTATCTATTGGTATTGAATTGATTGAGTGAGAGTGCACCGAGAGTTTGTGTGTGAGTGAGAGTGCTTTATATTATATCCTGACTGACGGGGCGGCTCTCAGAGCCCGCCATTTTGACATGACATCCACCACTAGTCCCCTGTGCGTGTATGTGGCTGGCTGCTTCCAACGTTGTGTGTGTTTTGGCTGCTGTGCTGTGCCGGTTTTTTGCTGCTCATGGGCAACGGAATGGATAGACGGATGGCTAGGTGGCTTGATGGGTTTTTGCGCAAACACGCACACACAGAGACCCACACACGCACACAGATGCACGAGTCTCTCGGTGCCTACCCACCCTACACCCGATGGCCTTGATAGACATGATGCAGCCCTCGCACTAGCAGTGGCCTTGCCTTTTTCTTTGCGGGTGTGGTGTTTTTCTTTCTTTATGTGTGTAACGTTTCCTTTTTCTGCTGCATTGGCTTGCCTCCCGGTGGTGCCTTTGCTCTGGGTGCATGCTGTATACGTGTGTGTGCGTGTGTGTGTGCGTGTGACACGGTTTGTGGTTATTTCTGGATGGATGGATGGAGTGCGCCGCTTTGCTGCGCATGTGGTGTTTCTTCTCTTCGTTTGATTCAAGCCATCCCCCCACGTCGGAGCACTCACACACACATTACCAACTGTGCTGTCCTGTCTTTATCCATCCATCCATCAGCAGTGGCTAGCGTCTGAGCCAGTGAGTCAGAGAATGCACGAGCGGAGGCTGCTCGCCAGTGGAGTGGAGCTGTGTGTGCCCTTTTCATCTCGCGAGCAGCAGGCATCCATCCTTGCAGGCAGGCACCACTCGTGCCGTTCACTGCCTGCCTCCCCAGGCAAGACCATTCATCCGTCAGCATCGACACCTTTTGTATGTATGCGCGTGTGTGCACGTGCATGTACCATGTACATGTCTGCATGGGTGGGGGTGGGGGAGGGATACACGTGGGGGGGGGTGGGGGGGTGGAACAGAGAGAGATGGTCGCACAGACAGACAGACACAGATATCCAGACAGGCAGGGAGACAGTTAGTACACACTTGTGGCAGTTGGCTGGGGGCAAACACACTCAGACACTGACCGACTGACCGACTCCTTTCAGCTGACGACACAGAAATAAAGGAAGAAAATCGACCGGTCATTCGTTGGCTATTACCCTTCAGTGAATCCATCCCAGCCCATCCATCCATCCATCCATCCATCAGGTCCGTCCATCCGTCCATCCGTCCCTCACAGGTCGGAATAAGTGAGGGCCAGTGAGGGTAAGCAATAGCTTTGGAACCCCTCAATGGCAGACAAAGAGAGCATCAAGCACTCACCCACGCCACCAACACTTTCATGGCGATGCGGATGGCCGGTGTAGAGGGAGGGAGGGGTCGACCCTACAGGCCAACCACAGACAGTGCAAGAGCTCCTTCCTGGCTCACGAGTGAAGGCAGGCTCTCTGGTGCTGGCTGTGGCTCATGAGTGAGCTCCCGACCATCTAAAAACATAACAAACCAACCCAGCCCACCGCGCCGCGCACACTCATCAGACAGTCAGCTGCTGTAGAGTGAAATGACTCCCACCCACCCCACAGGCAGGGGCATAAAACCACATGACCAACACTCACTCTACACCCTCCTCTACGCTCTCTTTACACACCTCTTCCCTTCTCAACCACCCCTCTCCCTCTCCCCGCCGTACTCCCTCGCCAGAGAGAGCCCCCCACCGCTTGCTAACATGCCCTTCGCCCCCGCAGCTCGGGTCACATTCATCATCGGCTCAACGCCGACCACCCGCTGCCTGATGGTATGCTGCTGTGGTGGGGGCGGTGACGAGTCAGTGGTCGGCGGTGAGTGTTTGTGGAGGATGGAGAGGTGGCCGTCCCGGTCCTGGCTTTGGGCGTGTTCGTACCCCTTCTCGAACAGACGCCACACGCCCGCTTTGTTGAGCATCCCCAGCTGGTTCCAGAGCTTCTGCAACCCATCCACCCACCGCATTATGCGTGTCGGTATGTATGATTGTGTGTCAGTGGCTGGCGGACACGCACCTGCTCGGATGGAGGCGACACGTAGATGAGCGGCGACTCCCCTTCGTATAAAGGCCTGCTCGCCCACACAGACACACACACCACGATAGGTAAGACGGACGGCAACCAGGAATATCGACCACCGTCCCAGTTCCCCTCCCTCCCTCCCTTTTACCCACCTGACGTGCAGCCCGCCATCCACGTAGAAGTCATCGCCCACTTGACAGCACAGCCGCCCGTCAAGGAAGAAGGGGATGTGCACGCTCGCCATTGCCGCGTCAATCAGGTCAGCCTTGCTCACGTTGCCCTCCTCCCGCGGCAGCATACGCGCCTCCAGCGATGGCAGACCCGTGGCACGCATCCGCACTCGGCCCCTGATGGATGACATCAGTGGTGGGGTGGGTGAGTAAGGTAAGCAGCGACAGTGACAAACAAACAAGGATGCACGCGGCCCGGCCGGAAGATGCCTGCCTGTTGGGGGTGGGTGAGACAGGGTCACTCAGTCACTCACCTGCACAGTTCGTCGCAGTCCGGTGGGAGGATCTCGTGGAGCCATTGCCTTATCAGAGGGCCCCATATGACTGACCAAATGCAACGAGACGCAACGCAACGCAACGCAACGAAGCACAAAGACCACAGACACACACACAGACATCGCGCACCCATCCATCCATCCACACACGCCACGCCAGGCCACGCAGTGAGTGCCCTCCTTACAAAAGACGCCGAGCGGCCTGGACCAAAGGTCGGTGTCGTCGGCAATCTCGAGGGCACGAGCCACCGCTCTCTCCAGCGGCACCTCAGACGCTGTCAACACCGCCGAGATTGCACCCGCCGACGCACCCACGAAGCGACAATCAGAGAGGTCGTAGTGCGTTCGAAGGTAGTCGGCATACCTGACAGACAGACGACCCATCCCATCCCATCCACAGACGCGCGAACCTTCACAATTGATGCAGTGTGGCTGCATGGTGACTATGCATGTGATATAATGTGCTGTGCTTCCGTGGGAAAGTGACTGACCCAGCTTGCCAGAACCAGAAGACGCCTCCAAAAGGAAACACCACCACCACACGCTCCCTCTCCCGCTCCGGCACCGGAGCACCATGCAACGGCCGATGCCGGGCGTGAGCCTGCTGGTGCTGGTGGTGCTGGTGCTGGTGCTGGTGGTGCTGTCGGCTCCTCCTCAGGAAGTTCGTGGTAGCAGGCAAACTTCTCTCGACAAAGGCTGTCTTGAGGACGAGGTCACATCCCACCACAGGGCCAGAAACCACGAGGCGCCAGACGGTACAGAAGGCCTTCATGACGAGAAATAGGGCTGTCGATATGAGCAACAGGATCATAAAAGGCCTGCTGGTGGGTAAAGGGGATGTCGCGGGAGCATAGTGGGTGGCGAAGCAGCCAACTCACCTAGGATAGGAGAGAAGAATCAACTCAACCCTTTTGGTCGGTTCGGTTCAAGTGCAACTGCCTTACGTGAGTCACAGGGGCCTTCGGTTCGGTGGGTCTCGGTTGGACAAGCGCCAGGGAAAGGCAGTAATGAGATGATGTTCTTCGGTATCGGTGCTCAGATCTGCAGACAGAGACAAGAGCACAGCCATAGGGCGTCCCCAGATCCTTTGACGCCTCACAGAAGGCTATCTACAGGCAATCGACAGGCTCTTTCCCTTGCTTCACCCACATCGGTCTCTCTCATCTTCTCTTTTCGGTACGCACCTCCTGCAGGTCGAGCCGCCCTCCGTGCTCCTTGTGGAAAACTCCTCTCAGCGAATGAGTGTGGTCTTTTGCGCGCTTTCTCAGCTCGCAATTCCGCCATCCATCCTTTTCCACCTTTCCTCCCCCCCTCTTCCACTTAAGTCCTCCAGGGGTCGTATGAGAGCCGGCCTGCAACGGGGAGGCCTTTAGATCAAGATCGATCCAAAGGCGGTCAGCCAGTGCATACGCGATGAAAGCGGCGAAGGCCATGCCCTCAAGGACCCGGCACACAGAGCTCCAACAACGCGGCCAAGAAGAAGATTCTGAAGAAGAAGACCAGCCGCGAAGACTGTCTGTGCCATGTGATCTCATATCCTCTTCTTCTCGACTCGGCCCCTATACCGCTGCCACCCTCGTCAGCTACCCTCACCCATGTCACCGAAGCGCCGGCGACGCAGCGGGCGACCTGCAGCCGCGGACCACAAGTCATCACAGCCAGACGCCACACATTCGCAGGCATCCCTCTCTCCACCAGACGACAGCGGCGCCCTCCCCAGTGCACAAGAGGCGCCAGCTCCGTTACTTTCGCACCATCAGCAAGGCGGTGACAATGACGGAGCACCTGTCAGCTCGGCCGGCCGGAATGGTGTTACTGTGCTGACAAATGGCGAGGCTGCCTTGGCTGACCGGTCAGAAAGCGACTCCAACACGTCTGGGAAAGAAACGAGATTTTCGGGAAGGTGAGTGAGAAAGTGAGTGCAGCACAAGCACAAGGAGCAAGGTCGTCGTCCATTGGGATATCGGTTGGGCTGTGGCTGGCTGGTTATGTGTGCAGCAACGGCGACGGACATCGTACGGGAGGATATGGTGACCTGAGCAGCCAGGAGCTGACATCGGGCAGCCGCATGACGACGGGCAATGAGAGCGGCAGCGGCACCACCGGCAGCAGCAGCAACAATGGGGCCGCCACGCGACACCTCACACGTGTGGATGCCCGTACGGTGATGCATCGAGACCCCCACAGCCACGCCTCTCGTCCCCACCCCTTGCACACCCATACACATACACACGGTGGCCTCGGCATGCATCCTGCCGACCACCGAGAGGGCCGTGCCTTCTTCCTGGACGACGACGACCTCTGCGACATCCAGCACTCCCGTTCCTACACCCCCTCCCCACCGCCCACACTCACGGCCACCAGCAAACAGCTCCCCTACACGCGCCGGTCATTCCCCTCCCTCCATGACGCAACAACAGCCACGGCACCACACGCAGGGCATGATTCGTGCTGTGTGGGGCGCCATCCGTCGTCTGGGCGGCTGGCTGGTCGTGGGCAGGCGGAGGGCAGCAGCGGTCGGCTGAGCATGCTCAGTGGAGGGGGGTCGAGCGGGTCGATATCAGGTAGCGAGCGGTCGAGCAGCGGGGCCACCGGCAATGGGACGTCATCTCAGTCGCTGGGGGGGCTGGGGCTGGCCGACGATGCCCAGACGGACGACAGCGAACTGCGCATACAGCAGCAGGTGAGTTGTTGGAGGCGTGGTGACCTCTTCTTTCTTTGGCTGAACGAATGCATTGTGTGCGGTGCTTATATGGTTGGGATGTCGTTTGGTCGGTCAGCGTCGCGACGAGCGTGCGCGTTCGATGGTGGAGCCTCTGGTGGTCATCCTGTTGCCGATGGTGTTCCTGCTGCCGCCCCTGTTCCTCTTTGTCAAGGCCCTCTATGTGCTGCTGCCCATTGTCCTGTTCGTCAGCCTGGCCCTGTGGGCGTCCGACCACAAGCGCACCATCCAGGCGCTGTTCCTTTTCACCCAATTCCAGCGAGCCGAGTGACGACCGACCGACCACACACAACAGGGAGGGATGTCGGTGGGTGTGGTGTGGTGTGGTATGGTGTGGTGTGGTGTCTCATAGCTGTGCGTGGCGTGGGCGATCCGATCCACAGAACTATATGCATGGGCGTACCTTGGCTTTTGCCTATGGGGGGCGGGAGGGGGGCACTGCCTGTCTGTCTCTTTTCCTCCAGCGAGCGGGGGATGCGGCTGGCTGGCCGGGCCGGACGGAGGGGGGGCTGTGGCTGTGTGGTGTGTGTGCTTGTCTTGCTGCTGTGAGTGAGGTGCTGTCCCAAAGGGCTGCCTGCCTGCCTGCCTGCCTGTAAGTGTGCACGACTGAATGATCGATGGAAGGATGGATAGAGCGCCGTGTCGTGCTACATGTGGTGTGGCGACTGCATGACAGACAGGAGTCCAGATGTGACCCACTGTGGGGCCGTCCCACAGCACAGCACACGGGGAAAGGTACTTGCTGGCTGGCCGGCCGTGTCAGGCGTGTCAGCCAGCCAGCCAGCCAGCCAGGAGGCGAATTACACGTTTTCAAGGACACTGGATGGGATTGATGGGGCAAAGGCAGTTAGGCAGGAAGGAAGGGAGGGGCAATTTTGCGTGTCGTGTTACTTGCTCCTTTCAAGTGCCGTGTGTGTGTGTGTGTATGGTGTGTACATGATGTCATTGACGGTGGTGTTGTGTTGTGTTGGTGCTGTATTTCTCTGCGGGCACGTGTTGCCGCAATATAACGCTCATGTTGCTGCCATGGATGAGTCTCTCTGTCTGTCTGTCTGTCTGTGGTGGTGGGGGAACGGGGGAACGACGGGTCGCTTGTGTAGAGGGTACCTATAGGTACGTGGGAGAGGCAGGCAAGGCAAGCCCGACGAGGGCTTGCGAGCAACAAGGGCGACAGACAGACAGACAGACAGACAGAACAGACGATGGACAGAGGACCGCTGCGTACGTAGGTGTGTGCATTTGCTCGGTGTGGTTAACATAACAAGCGTACAGAGACACTGACCAGCAGGTCGACGGTCCACACCACACACACACACACACACACCCCAACATATCAGTCAACACGCAATCAATCACATCAAGTCAAGTCACACCGTGGTGCCACCGTGTCTCGGCTCGACAGGGAACCCAAGCAGCCCATTCTCGCGCAGCAAGCGGCGAACGAAGTCGGCCTTGTCCTGGTAATCCCTCAGCCGCCCCCACTCATGGAATGCGACCGTGTACACCTTCCACCCCATCGCCTCGAGATGCCGCAGCTTCGTCTCTGTGAAATGCCGCAGCTTGCCTTTGCTGTCAGGGAAGACGTGGACCTTCTCTATGGGCTCGAAGGCCACCCTCTCGTCCCGGTCGCACACCTTGAGTGCGTAGGGGCCCACCATCTCCCTCTTGCAAGGAAAGCTGTGCTTGGCCAGGAAGTGTGCCAGCTGGTAGGAGAGGATGGTGTGGTGCTGCAGCGACCTGTCCGTGTACTTGAGGTCCCGTACCAGCGACAGGTACTCCAGCGCCTCCTTCGAGAGGCCCGCGTAGGTCTGGGCGTAGTCGAGTCGAAGGGAGACCTCGATCCACTTCAACGACCGCAGCTCCACAGAGTCGGACGCCCACAGGCCCAGGTGTGTCCGTCTGGCCACCAGCAGCAGCTTCTCGATCGCCTGCACCGTGTACAGCCGGGTCCCCAGCATCGTCGCCAGCAGGTGAATCGCCAGAGCGGGCGTAAGCAGACCACCACCACCAGACTCGCCACCATCACCCTCCCTCTCCCCCAGGTCCCGGGAAACGTAGTCATAGAGCACCCTAAGCAGCTCCGTCGACACCCTGGCCTTCGAGTAGGCCTTGAACACCCGGATCAGCTCGTACGGCTTCGGCGCACCGAACTCGCCGGTATTGTCTAGCCGCTTAGACAGTAGCTGCGGCACGGTCAGGAAGACCTGCCGCTCCTCAAGGCCGCGGATGGAGAGCGCTGCCAGGTGGTCGAGGACCTCAATGAGGTCGACGGTTGAGTACTGGGCCAGGAGGGGACGCATGGCCGTCACGATGGCGGGGAAGAACTCCCCTCTCGCTCGTCTGGTGAAGTGGAGCTCCCGCAGACCCTTGAGCAGGAACAGGATGTCATCCGCATCGAGGGCAGCGGTGGCTGGTTTGTCGGCCTTCTGTGCCCCTTGCGGGCCCTCTCCATCCTCTTTCTCACCCAATGGAGCAACTTTTTCCGTCAGCAGGAGGCTGCGGTAAAGGCATTCTACGTGCCGCTCGTCGACCTTGGTGGTTTGCTTCCTCAGATAAGGCTTGTGTGCGGTGGTCCTTCCCTCCTCCTCGCGGGCCTCCTGCCCGTCCAGATCCATAAAGGCATGCAGCACCTTCAGGACGTCGGCACTCGGCAGCTCGCCCCGCCTGGCTGCGTCGCACACCCTCTCACACTGCCGCCACCAGTCCTCCCTGGCATTGAGGCGACCGGTAAGCTGAGAGGCGGCCTCGTCTATCTGTGATGGATCAGCGGATGCAGGCCAGGGGCGAGGGATGGGGGAGGGCGGGATGGGCTTGGTTTCCACGTCGTTGTCGACGGACTGTGCGAGTCGGATGGTCCCGACGACCAGAGGGCTAAAGGCCAATGCTTCGGGTGGCTCTGTTGCGCCGTCTGCTGCCGCTGCAGTGCTGAACGAAAACGAACGGCATGATCTTGAATGATGATGAAGCCTGGCGCACAGGGCTGTCCTCAGCCGCGCTCGGGCCATCACCAGGGACCGCATAGCATTAGAGGAACGCAGCGATCCTCCTGCGAGCTTGAAGCCGGAGGAAGAAATATTCACGTGGAGCGTTGCTGTCGTTGACAGTAGGAGTGCAAACCAGCCGAGTTTGTTTGAGATCTCGCGTCGCTGCATCATCTGTTTGAGTCGGTGATGGTATGGTGCTGGGACCCTTTGCCAGGTGGGTGCTTCGTGGGCATGGATACCACTCACACGCGCTGCCATGTCTGTGTGTTGTGTGGTTGGTATCAGAATCATCGCTCAAGTCGGTTTCATCGCCGGTGGTGCCCTCTTCAGAGCCTTCATACAGGCCTACAGAGAAGCTGCCATGCGTACGCACACACAGAGATTCATCATGAATGATAGCCTGATTGACATGGGCCCTTTCTCTGTGCATGTGAGAGAATGCTCATGGTTGTGTCTGTCTGTCTGTCTGTGTGCGTGTCCATATGTATCTGTGTGTGCAGGTGGTGCGGCCAACCCCGCCTTTCAGCAGACGTTTAGTCGCAAGATGTCCCTCGACGAGGCCAGCAAGATCCTCGAAATCGACTTCAGACGAACCGGAATCGAAGAAATCGTTCAGGTGTGCAGCGGAGCACAACCACACCACACCACACCACTCCACCCTGCCAGCACCAACACATGCGGATTCGCTTCCCACTGTGTTGTGTGTCCTTCCTTCTACAATGGCTGGCTGCAGCGTTTCCATCGTCTGCACGAGATCAACGCCAAGAAGGACAATTTTCCGGGGTCGCCTTACCTGCAGCGGAAGGTGGAGATCGCCAAGGAGGTCCTTGAGGACCACATACGGTCACAGGGGGGCGGGGGAGGGCAGAAGCCCTGACAGATAGGACGATAGATACACATGTCGATGTTGATACTGACAGAGGCAGGCAGGGACTCGCCCCCCAATCCAGTCCGTATGCATTGCATACTGATTGATTGCTGAGATGATTGATATCGTCGCTTGACGGATGGATGGATGCTTCCTCTCTCTCTACACGGCCGCTACGCTTTAACGAGGCTGACTAGCATGGCATGCATGGTCGGGGGAAGGGTAGGGTGGTCGGGGCCTAAGGGATTCGACAAGAGACTCGCTTATCAGTCTTGCCGTGTGGCACCCACTGGACCTTTTTGGCCTGATTCTTACTGACGTGAACGGCATTGCGTGCCCGTTATGTGAATCCCTCCCCTGTCGATAGAGAATATCAATAGCATCAGCCCACCAATCAGTTCTAAGTCAGTTCAGTCAGCTCATATCTCTCTCCCTTGCCCCTAGTCATCTGCTTCACGGCGCCCAGCAGCCCACCCATGGCTGGGTCCAGCTCCTTCTCGCACGCCTCCAACGCCTTGACGCGCGGCAGATAGACATTCGGCAACGTCATCGCTATCCTGCACTCGACAACACACAGACAGACAGACAGACAGAGAGCCGCACGGCTCCTCAGTGCAGAGGCGAATAAGCGCATGGCTGCTGGTTTGCAACATGCCTTAAGGTTTGGAGTGCCTCCTCGTCTTCTGATCTGGCCCGGTGGACCTCACACTTGAGGCGCCACAGCACTACATTCGCCGGGTCGAGGTCTGAACTCGTGTATGCACGCAACTCTGTATGTTGCTCTCTCTCACTCTCACTCTCACCGACGGCTTCGTTGATGTCTTTAAGACTCTCATCCATCTGTCCCATCATCACGTGCGCGATCCCCCTGCCGCCAACGAGCGTGGCATACGCCCTTCACGTGGATGGATGGATGGATGGACACACAGAGAAAGAGAATGAGCCACACATCAGTCCTCCTTGCTCAGGTGGCTCCGCTCGGCTCAGCTCAGCTGAGCTGACCTGTTGAGAATTTCAGGAAAGTCGATGTCGTACTGGCCCTCTCCCTGCTGCGCGTCGGCCAGCAGCGCCTCGCCCCACTTGGTGAGGGCGGCGATGCCTTCATTGAAGTGACTTAACGCCGCCTGAGGGTCGTCGTCTCTCAGCGACTTGATGCCCTTCTCCTTGCAGCGCAGGATGGCCTCGGACTCCGTCATTGGCGGCTTGCGGCCACCCACACGAATCGCCTGCAGGCAGTCAAACAAACAATGACTCAGAGCTTAAGCTGATGTATTTGTGCCTGTCTGCGTTTCTGACACACCTGTTGTATGATGTCTTTGCTGAGAGTCACAGCCTCAGCGAGGTCTTTTTGACGTCGCATCACCATCGGCTTCTTCTGCCGTGATGGACTCACCATCACACGCACATTGGGGCCGTAGTCGCAGTTGCCGAGGCAGCTGCACGTCTGCACTTGCAAGGCATAAGGCCTTCCCTCGCCGAAGCCCCTCCCGTCAGCCTCACCATCCTCTTTCCCCACCGTCCCGAGCAGGAAGCGGAAATGCTCTGCGAGCACCTGCGCGCCTCCGAACGCCTTTTCACTCTTCGGGCCGCATGTAGGACCTGCCGTGTGACACACAGACAAAAATCAATCGGACCCCCGACACTCGCCCATCACATACATGAATACCCGCAACCATCCATGGCAGTCATCCATACCATTGCAGACTCGCACGTCGACCGTCGGTTTCGTTGCTGAAGGGCGTGTGAAGCGGCTCCATCTTGATCTGTGCCTCGAAGAGTGAGATGCTGGCCTGACAGATGAGTAGATGAAGGCCAGTGTCGACGGCACGAGGGAGACCGCCACGCACAAGACGACTAAAGATGCCATTGAACGCCACGGATGGATAGCGCAGATGAAGGCGTAGGAGTGCCTGGTTGGTTGGTTGGTTAGTGTGTGTGCCTGGCGAGAGATCTGAGAGGGAAGCCGCTTAAAAGCTCGCAAAGTCAGCAAGTTTAGCTTGCAGTGCCTCCACACACAAAGGACGACTGGAATTTTCGCGCTTCGCGATGACTGCACTCTCATCTGCATCTCTCCCACTACTGTTCTGCACCATGGCCATCCTCCATACATCTATAGTTTTGGGCTTCACTCCCACACTTCCCCTGCCTGCCGCTGCCTCTCGCACCCACTCACAGCTTCGGAGACCACCAAGCATGTCCGCAGACCCACCCAGCGACGCGTCAGCCTCATCTTCGCGACGGCTCTTCCTTGCCGAGAGCAGCGCTCTGCCGCTGGTGCTGCTGACCTCCTTAATTGCCCCGCCCGGTGCTCGTGCTGCAGCGGATGGCTCATCTTCACTGGGAGAGGAGTTTCGGTCACAGCTGGGCCCTGTGGAGCCTGGGTGGGTGCGGCTGGTGCTGTGTCGCCACGGGCAGACAGACTACAATAAGGAGCGGCTCATCCAAGGCAGGAGAATCAACGCGCCAATCAACGATGAAGGTGCAGTGCACAGACAGCACGCAGACAGACAGATCGATCACGATGCATTCATTGCATGTCTGTACAGTACTGACCTGCTGGGCCGTGGATTGGATGTCTGTGTGCCTGTGCCGGTGCGTGGTGTGGTGTGGTGTGTGCTGTGCAGGGGTCCGTCAAGCAACAGCTCTCGCCGGAGTGCTTGAGGGCATGGACGTTCGTGCGGTCGTGTCGTCATCCATGATGCGCGCCGGGCAGACAGCCGACATCGTCCACTCGTCAGCCAGCACCACAAACATACACACACACACAACACAGACAGACGCCCATCTGTCTGTCTGTCTGTCTGGCTGGCTGGCTGTCGGTCTGTCAGGCGTCACCGTGATGTGCCTCGGCTTCGGTTCAAGGACCTGGATGAGGTGGACTTTGGTGAGCTGGAGGGAAGGGGCATCGCATCCGGCCTACCATCACTCACCAGTGAGTCAACTCAACGACGACCACACACAAGAGAGAAACACCCACCTACCACGTGACCGTCTGCCATCCGTTGGTTGATTTGATTAGTGCATACATTCATTCACCCATCCTTCTTTCTTTGTCCTTCCCTCCCTCTGGACAGGCACGTATGCGTCATGGCGGTTGGGTGAGGGTGAGGCCCGTCTGGGGTCGATAGGTGAGAGCGGCATAGACATCGCCACCCGAGTGAGGGCCGCCATCGACGACCTCATTGTGGTCGCCAAACAGCCACCCATGCTGGCATCCCGCCTGGGCATCGACGTGTCCGCCGCCTTCGCCTCACAGGCGGACCAACAGCCGCCTGTGGTGAGTGAGGGAGGAAGGGAAGGAGGGAAACGCAATGCATTAATGACGACCTACGACACAGGGAGTGGAGTACGTGTCAATGGGTGTGTGTGATTCAGGTCGTTGCTGTAGCCCATGGTGAGTTTCTGCGGCGCCTGCTGGCGGACGCTGCTGGCGACGACGTTGGATTGCGACTCAGTGCCGAGACGGTCAGCGCAGCGAGCAACATCTATCAAGATGGATGGATCAGAGGGAGGCGGGATGTCTGTCATATGTTGTTTGTTCTTGTTTGTCAGGCGGTGATCAACAACTGCGGCATCAATGTGGTGGACGTCAACCCCGCCACGCTGCAGACCAAGATACAGCTCATCAACTGGAACTCCCACATCAAACGACTCGAGGACATCGCCAAACAGTGAACAAACGAAGGGACAACGAATCTTTGCGATCCAAAAGGGTAGGATTTTTTGCCGAGCGACTTAGAAAAGAGAGTGAGTTATGGGCGGGCCTGGATTGATTGCCGCATCGCAACATCACATTTCGCCTGATTGGATGATTGGTTGAGCGATCGGTTGGGCGATCGGTTTTGGCGAGTGTCAGTTAGGTGTACCGACCAGTGTAGATCTATCTCTCCATCTGTGTGGGTGCGGTGTAGATGTGGGCCCACGCAGCGTTTTGTCGTGTATGTGATTGGGGAGGTGGGTGAGACAGACAAGACGGGTGCTGGCTGGCCTGCGTGTCGTGGTGTGGTGTGTGGTATCCGTCTGCAGTGTTGATATACTCGTTGGCCAAGACAGACAGACAGACAGACTGCCTGACGCACTCACCGGATAGACACACACGTTGCGGTGCTGTGGAACGAATCGACTCACCGACTTCCGCAAGGAGGAAAGGCAAGGCAAGTGTTGGCTGACAGCATTGGCAGACAACTATTAAGTCAAGTCACAGCACTGTCTGTCCACTGGTATGCATGCACTGCCAAAAACTCATGCATCACAAACATACGAGTTGAGTTCACGGCACACACACACAGAGAGAGAGAGAGAGAGATGGAACCCAATCCCAGCTCGTGAGCCCGAATGTGGCGTCCGTCCATGAAGCGAGAAGAAGAGGGCTCTGTCTGGCTGTCCATGTGTATGTGTGTGTGCGGACGGCGAACGATCAGAACATTGACTGACACATGCCATCCGTCCATCCATCCGTCCATCCATCCATCGTGCACTGCACTGCACGTGTGTGTGCACATCGACATACATCGTCAGTCACCACCCCTGGTACAGACCGTGCTGTCCAGCACGTCAGTACGCAAAAACGGGGTGCGCACCCACAGACAGGGGAAGGACGGTGGCTTCGCTTCGTGGGATGCATCCCATCCCACGCACTTGTACTTGTCATGTCACGTACGTATCTGCCTGCCCTGCCCACAGAAGGAAGGAAACCGAGCCGCACACGGCCACACACAGCCCCGGCAGGCACAAATACATTCAGCGACCGACGGCCCCAGCTAGCCACCTTTCGCTCATCTCATCCATCTCACGCATAGAGCTATGCAACCAATGCAGCGCACTTGAATGGAAATGGGACGTGGCGTCATTTGCTCTGTGTGTGGACGCCAGGCAGGGCAGCCGAGCGGCAAGACAAGACGGCAAACCAAGACAGACAGGACTGTTGTTGTTAAACATGCCAACGCCAGCCAACACGTATATACGTCTGTCTGTCTGTCTGTCTGCCATGCATCGGGCAGACCGAGGGAAGGAAAGCATCAAGGAAGGAGAGATCGTTGCTTGTACGTTTGTCTGTAAGTTTAAACAGGCAGCAAAAAAGCGCCGCGCGCACCGCACCGCCCGGCAGCCAAGGCAGGCAGGCAGGCACGCTATAAACGAATATATATAAGGAAGGCACAAACAACGCAAAGACAAAGGTGCGTAGCAACAGAGACAGACGGAGAGAGAGAGAGACAGAGAGAGAGAGAGAGAGCAAAACCAGTCAGCATCCACCCATCATCCATCGGTTCTCACATGAATGCCAGCAGACAGACAGGCACGAGACGCACCCATCGGCATCCCATCCGTACAAAACGAGACCAGGCTCTCCCCACCTCCCTCCCTCCCTCCCTCCCTCTCTCCCAAGGCCTGCGAATCAAGCTCAATCGACGGTAGGCAGCACACTCCCGCCTGCCATACACATACACACGTACAAGTCGAGCAAAGCGCCGCCATGCTTCCTTCCTTGTTAGCGCCCGGCCTCTTGTCTGTCTTGTCAGCCAGCCAACCAACCAGAGAGAAACAGGCCTGCCTACACAGAGAGTGGGAGGCGCAGGGCAGGGCAGCCATGACATTCATGTCAGTTAGTGTCGAAACGTACGCACACTGCCCACTGTGAGGCAGGTAGGCCATCGATGCATACATATGACCTATCGAACGATGTTAGCGAGATCAACGCAGACACAGACACACGGAGAGCTCGCTCCCTCCGCATGGAAAGCACCTACTGTTCAACGAACTGTCCACTCCCGACCCTCCGACCCCCAAACCACCCCGACCCGACCCGACCAAGCCAAGCCCGACCCGTTGTAAAACGACCCGCCCCGCCCTCGTATGTACCCATTTATCAATCAATCAATCAATCTGCCCTGTTCGTTGTAGAGTAGATGCAGACGTGTAGGCAGACAGACGTGTACTTGTACATCGATCGCATCGACCCACCCCCCATGCCATGGAGGGAGGTATGCAAAACAGCGCACGCACACTCGCATACTCACAGATTCATTCGCAGGCACAGGTCAGACACACACACAAACACACACACACACAACACGTGTCGCGCAACGACTCGACGTGTGTCGAATGGATGCGATGCGATGCGCTCCCGCGGTCGCTCAAAATGTCCCAGCCACCACACCACAAGCCTGGCGTCCCGTCGTTTCACTCCGAGTAATAGTCAGGCTGCGCAGCCAACAAGTCTAAGAAGACAAACACACCAATATTTAAATACCAACAGCCAGCCGCATCCGTCGATCATGTGTGTGTATCCCTCCCAATTTGGCTGCCTTGCAAGCAATGCAAGCCACTCGCTTCGCTCACCTTGCTCGGATCCCCTCCAGTTGAGCAGTTCCAGCAGATACCCCCTCCGCCCATCAGCCTGGTCCCTCCGCCGCCCAGTCGCCTCACCACTGCCGTCATGGCTCTCCGGCTCCCCATACACCGTACACACCGGGTGGTACTGTGTCGGCAGCAGACTCTCCCGCGACGAACCTGTCATGACATCGCTCCCGCTGCCCGACGACATTGGCAGATCCGTGAGGGCCTGGGAGAGGGGGCCCCCGGCGCCTGACGGCGAGCTGGTGGATGAAGTGTTGGTGTACTCCCGAAGGGGGGGCGGGGGCGGGGTGGAGTACGCCACAGACCCGACGACATATCCATTCTTGCTTGCGTCGCTCCTCAGGGCCGCCTTGCACATGGTGCAGCCGTTGCTCGAGACGAGCCTCACGGCCTCGCCAGTCGACCGGCACACTCCCAGTCGCGCCGACCCACCGCCACCGTCACCGTCCCCGCAGCTGTGGTGATAGGCCGGCGATCCGAAGAGCACCACTGGGCTACCCAGAGTGACCACGGGTATCCAGTCAGGGGGCAGGCAGTGCCGACAGAGCTCCCATCTGGTCGGCTTGTCAAGGCTGACGGTGTTCATCATCGACCCATAGTCGCCATCGGTGCTGCTTTCGCGCACCCCGGCAGCCATGCCGCTGTTGGAAGCGCTCGGACACCCCTTGGGCATGGGCAGCAGCCCAGTCGACGGACAGGTGGCCAGCAGGTGGTCGTCGGGCCGCCGCATCAACGCGTGGATGGGCTGTGGCGGCGGGTTGGACAGGACGGGGGGCAGGGGAGGGGTGGAAGAGGGCAAAAAGGAGGGGTACATGACCTGCTGCTGCGATGGGCCGGTGGCGCCGGCGGAGGGGGGTACCACTTGCTGCATTGTCCTCGCCCTCGTCGGCTCAACATGCTGCGAGTCGTGACCCATGTACCTAGCACCACCACCCATGGCCGCCTCTGCTCGGGTGCAGGTCCAGTGAGGCCGCATCGTGGTTTGGCCGGGCCGGCCATGCCTCTTGTGCTGGTCGTGGCGCGGCCGCTCGAGCACGGCCGATGGAGATTGATACATCATGATGGCGGCGAGAGGAGCAGTTGACCATGCGCGCTGGCGAGGCGATGATCTCGACGCCTCGAACGAGCTGTCACTTCATCGACAGGTGGCAGCCTGCATCCGTCAACGATGACCCCCAGAGCAGAAGGGAACAGGCAGGCTCAACAGGCCCAAGTCTGAGGAGGCAACCAACATACATGACAAAAAGTGCGCGTCGAGATCTTTATGGCGGCTGTTTGGCTTTCCCACCGAGATGGATGCGCAGCCCACACAGACGCGGCAGATCTCCTCTCCGGTCCCTCTCCCTTTCCTGCTGCGAGCTTAAGACTGCGAGGGAAGGAGACGCATCCCGCAATGGACCCAACCATGCTTCCTCCTACTTCAGAACAGCGCTCTTCCACAGACACCCACCGTGAAGATCCATCGACATCCATCGGTGCTTCTCCCCCGCCATCTCATCAGCCAGAGACCCACCACGGCCGTGCTCCCTCGCAGGACAACATGCCTGACGAGCTACAAGCAAAGACAACTCATGAACGACACCCTCAACAGCCCCACCAGAGGAGAGGGAGCGTCAGGCGAGGCCGTGGCGGCAGAGGGAGGGGAGGGCGCGGGTGCGGCAATCCGTCGTCATCGCGAGATAGTGTGTCGAAACATCGTCTGAAGGATCCGTGTGTGGTGTGTGAGTCGCAAGAGGGCAAGTACCGCTTCCCCTGCTGCAAGCGTCGGTTCTGCAGTGAGTAGACTTGACGTGTCTGTCCATCCATCCATCCATCCATCCCATGCAGCACGAACGGCACGGATGGCATGTGTATGTGTGTGTGTGTGTAGGCAAGGAGTGCTTCCAGCGCCACTCAGCCGACGACTGTCCCATCAAGAAGAGGCGGCTCGACCACGAGGCCGAGCTGAAGGCAAAGGAGGACAAGAGGCTACAAGACATTGCTCAGCAGGGGGGCGGCCAAGATGGTGACGATGAAGATGTGCTGCTGACGGATGCGCACCGAGCCGCACTGAGTGAGCACCCACACACACACGCGCGGAGCTACAAATGTGTGGTATGTGTGGATGGAGTCTCTGTCTGTGCAGGAGCCAGTTCGTCTGTGCGAGGCTACCTGGACGATACGATGATGCGGAATGTGCTGCGGAAGATCTGCACCGCCCCCAACAAGCGTGCGGCCCTGAGCGGCTTCCTGCGAGACCCCCACTTCTCGGCCTTCGTCGACGAGGTCATGAAGGTCCTCGACGCATCGTCGGAGCCGTTCTTTGCCAGACAGGCGTCATCGTCCAGTTGCACGATGGAATGACTGTGGAGGGGCGGTGGCGATATTTGGCTGCCATGTCGTTTTTCCAGACTGCTCGCGTGAGGCCTTTTGTTGTGCTGTGTGATGTGTGTTGATATGCCGATTATGGACGGTGCCTGGTGTGGGAGTAACTGAAAGGACAGCTGGCTGGCTAGTGTGCGATGTCTGTCCTGGATGTGTCGGTGCAACGTCGGATTTCAGTGGTGCACTCACACACATGCGAACCGAAAAGCAATCTTTTCATTGTTCCTTGCGTGGGTCCGTCCATCGCGTGTCCGCTCGCCCTCCATCGATGGATGTAAAACCGCCCGATGTTAAAACCCACCCAGTGTGCGGCTATCTATGGCAAAAAAGATAGACGCCATCCTTGCCGGTCCACCCACCCACCCACCGCACCGCACCGCATGCACCCATCTACCATTTATGTATCCATCCATCCATCCAGTCAGCCGTCACGTCAGGCAAAGCTCAAGGGTCCGAGCGGAGCCATCAGCAACACACACACGGACGACCAGACGCACGGCACGACCGACACCGACACACCAACCGCCGCCATCCATCCATCCATCCACCAACCACACGAAAAGAACCCTCCTGCACACGCACGGACACACAGGTATCATGCGTCAGTCAGTCAGTGGTGTGAAAAGGGTGGCAAATCTTAGGCAGGTGGACTGTCTGTCTGTGTGTCTGTCTGTCCGGGGAAAACAAAACTGTGCGCACGTGTCTGTCGTATGTATGTATGGTCGGTCAGGAAGATAGAGAGCTAGGTAGGTAGTCAGCTTTATGTATTCACAGGGGTGATGTGATGTGATGCAGTGGCCGTGTGGCTTCGGGGCTGATGGATGATGTGATGCATCGCATCCCGTCCGCCTGCCGGTCCACCCATCAATTCATTCGCTACTTAGTCAGTCAAGAGCCTTCCTTCTCTCAGTCAACTCAACTGTGCCTCGCTGTGTGTCAGTAAGAATGAATGCACCGTATGGCACGTCAGTCAGATATCTGTCTGTCTGATTGTCTGTCGCTCGGCGGCCAGAGAGAGAGAGAGAGTGTCGTCTGTATCGCTCGCTCGCTCGCTATCGGTCTGTCTGTCTATTTTGGGCTATCTTAGGCATCAATCCACACATCCATCCATGCATGGCCATGCATCCACCCATCCAATCCACGAAATACGTACGCATCTATCTATAGATCAGCCAGGCCGGTCCATCCATACCTCAGCCAGACACACCACACACACGGCACAGGTGGAGTCCACGAGACGTATTAAGATACATCTCAGCGGACCGTCTGCGCACACAACACCACACTCACTCACACAGGCATGCAATGCAAATCAGCCTCGCTACATGGACCACACGCGCACACCACTCACTGCACACAGTAACACCTTCCCCACTCCCTCACAGCCAACCGAGGAGTTGTCGGTCAGCCGTGTGTTGTGTGGGTGCGGTGCGATGTCGCAGTGGTGTGTTGTGTGTGTGTTCAGCAGCAGGACTTCTTCTTGAAGGCCTTCTTGCCGGGTGCGGCCCCGTACTGGTAGGAGGTGGGGTAGCCGTAGCCGCCGTACTGGTAGGCCGAGGGGTCGTAGCCTCCGTAGGCCGAGTAGGCCGGGTAGGTCGCAGACGTGGCCCCAGGAGCACCCGCCTCGGCGCCCGCCACACCCGGATACACGCCGTACGATGCATACGCTCTGCACACAACACACAACACATCACAGGCCACAGAGATACAGAGCGCGTTGGGCAGAGACATGTGTCCCGTGCATGTGATGTGCAGTCAGTGTGAGGCGCACCCGGGAGCGCCAACGCCGCCAACGGAAGGATACGCCCCAGCCTGGGGGTAGTAGTACTGAGCAGGCACTGCACCAGCCGGGTACGCTGCACACACACACAAGGCAGGCGCACAGAGAGACCAAAGGGACGCATGAGCGATGCAGGACCCAACTCGGATGAGGGAGACATGCCATTCTGGCACCCATGCAGGCCATTCCCACTCCCACATGACATCACATGCGCCACATACGCCTTCACGGCACCCATCCACGGCCTTCCCGCCTCCCCGTCACTGCCATTTCTCCGCCCTGTGACCCCCTTTCTGCCTCGTGCGACGTGCATGCGAGCGTGTGTGTGCGTTGGGTGCCTTACCGGCGGCGGCAGCAGTGGTCTCAGCCTTGGGCTGCTCGGTAGTGGGAACCTGAGCCTCAGTCGCCATGTGTGCGAGAGCTAGGCTGAAATCGATCAAAGACTGAACCGGCAAGGAAGGCGTCTTGCTGTTGGAGCCGCCGAGCAACAAGCAAACTATTGCTCACTGGAAAGGGGTTGCACGCTCACATTCAAGCTCGCAAAATGCCTGACGCAGAAAAATCTTACCCTTAACCACCACCACCCGATGCAGGAGGCATGGATTGGCTTGGATGCATTTCGCTTCTGATTACTGCTCTCTTGCTCGAGGCGCCGCAAATCCATGGATCGGCTGTGGTGCGTTCCCTCTTTGCAAAGGCACCAGCGACGGAAGCCCAGGGTGAGAGAACACCACAAGGCGAAGAACCTGCACGCCTCGGCGTCGGCCAGCAGCAGATCTATGAGTCGGTGAGGAGATCCATCCTCAGGAAGGGCCTCCCTGCCACCGCGAATCATGCCATACCTTCCTTCGGAGGAACGCACTGCTCCAGGTGGGTGGTAGTGGGTGGCAGGGCAGACAACCCATGGACTCGCGTGTGTTTCCTTTCAGGGGGTTCGGATGCGTGTATCGTGACATCGCCCGCAGCCACCCCGCTGGTGTCGGTGCGGGTGAGGCTCTGCAGGTTGGGGCGGGGCTTTCAGATATGTCGGTCCCGAACTCACAAAAGGAGCCCTGCAGAGGGATATCGTGTGTCGCCTCAATGGTCAGTCAGCCCAGCACAAAGGAGGAGAGAGATGGGCGGGAGGGAGAACACCAGTGGATGGATGGATGGATGGACGGCGTCATGTGTGTGTGTGTGCAGTTCCAGCCTGTGAATATGGAGGAGTCTACGTTTCTTCTCGATTGCGGCCAGCTATTTCAAGTGGTACGGCACACACACGCCGAGGCCGAACTGCCAACGCTCTCTCCGTGCAGGTGGGCGGCGGGTTGCCGGGCACTGACGACGAGCGGACCATCCAGGACGCCAGAAATGGCGTGTGGAAGTGGTGGGTGACCTGCCTGCCTGCCTGCCTCAGACCACACGACTGATGTGCGCTGCCCCTGCAGGTGTGCCAAGACGAATGGCGTGGGGGAGGCGCTTTGCCAGGTGTTCGACGACCTCACAGCCATGGCCCTCATCTCCCACTTCAACCGCACAGACGTGGGAGACCTCAACAGTGTCTGCTCGGTCAGTCTGCCTCCCTGCCTGATGGGTGGACTGCAAACAAGCCATGCCAGCCATTGGCGCCTTCCATCAACTATCCCTTCTGCGTGCACTGCAGCAAGTGTATTCGTCCATCGAGGCCATGAAGGCCGCCGTCGTCAACCTGCACCTCGTCCCTCACACCACGGGAACCGCTCATCCCGCCGTGGCCGCACTGGGCGGAAGGAAGCATGTCCACGACCCAACACAAGAAGAACAAGAAACGAAATACTACTATGACCTCGGACCGGTGAGCAAAGAAGCAAAAGGGGGCCGAGGCTGGCTGCATTGCATTCGCGTGTGTGTCCTTTTTTTCTGCTTGAACGAAGGAGATGCCTCGCGTGGAGGTGCCTGGCGAGCTCTTCACCCACTGCCGCCTCATGCTGCGATCCGTCAATTTAGCGACATGGCAGACCAGCCATGCTATCGTAGATGGCCTCATTCACTACTGCCTCTCGCGAGGCTTGACGGCTGCAGAGGCCGGGGAGCTGCGGCAAGGGGAGGGTGTCTCAGGGACCCCCGCCGACTGTGCGTCGATGGAGACGTATGTGCAGTTCTCGTTGCGGTATGACCTCGACAAGCCGCGGGCGCCCATCGACACGTGCAAGTCGTTCTTCACAACGGCCATCTACCTACAGAACTACGTCAATACATTCAAGCGTGAGCGAGCACATAGACATGCAGCTGGACACAAAGGGGCAGCGAGCGACGTGTCTGGTGTGTCGGATCTCTTGTGTCTGCACCCACTGCAGATGCACGTGCGCCTCCGAGGGTCCCTCCCAGCAGATATCTGTTTACATCGGTAGCAAACGAGCCGTCGAAGAAAGGCGAGGTCAGCGACACTGCAAACACATCCACACACCACCTCCTGGCCTGCCTGATGTCCTCTTTACCTCCCTGCCCGCCCCGTTCTTCCCTCCTCAAACATCAGGTGGACAAGGCCGCAAGAGACCAACAAAGGAGAGCGCGAGGGATTTGGCGGCGAATCCGACGGATGGTCAAGGACGTGAGCCGGGCGAGGAAGAGATTCAGATTAGCTTGACTTGACTGTAGCCATGACACAGCCCCATTGCATGCCATTCGTAAACAGTGATTTGCGAGCTTCCCCGAATTCGTGAGTTGAATCGCATCACTTCCTCTCCCCACTAACATGCTCTCCTTCGGGCGCCGATGACTCATCGCGCATGAGTCGCATCGCCGAGTCATCTTCCTTCGCGTCGCCTTCACCCTACTCGGTCCCTCGGTGTGCCATCCACATCCCTCCCATCCACCACGACCACCCACATTCCTCCGACGCCCAGGGAGATGCCATCGCTCGCTCATGCGTCCACCTCCTCACCGCCGGCGACCCGTCTGGAGGCGACGCCAACAAGCTCAAGGCGGCCTACCAGCCACAGTTCCATCGGGGGACCGTCGGTGCTGCTGCCTCGTTTCGCCTGCACGACAAAGCCTACATCTGTCAGCCCACTGGGGAGAACATGGAGAGGATATGTGTTGGGCGGATCGGCTACCACGAATCTGGGTGCGCAAGGGAGGCGGATGCGGACGGCGAGGGGGATGATTACGAGATGGAGATAGGGCTCGGTGGCGGTGGGGGTGGTGAGAGTTGGGCGAGTGTGGAGCTGCCGGTGGCACAAGACGGTGAAGACGGGGGCAGAGAGGAGCGAGGGGCCAAGAGGCGGCGGCTGACTGTCAGTGGTATGAGTGAGGTGCGCATCAAGGGCGCCACTGATGCCTTGTTGGAGCTGCGGGTGGACGACAAGCACGCCGACCAGACGCTCATCTACGCAAGGTCCAAGCGGCACTTCGCGGTCGCCCACTTCCTGCCGCGTAAGCAAAGCACGGCCGTGAATGCAATGCCGCAGCCTCATGCGCACGTGATCAATTAATCGATCCTTGGTGGTTGGGTTGCATCTCTATCTGTGTCAGATGCGGATGGCGATGAGTCGTTTTCAGCAAACGGCGATGGGTGCGGCAATCTGTCGGTGGCCTTCCAGTCTATCTATGACAGGGATGCCCCGGTCATCGGCATGGCGGTCTCGCCTTTCGATTTCGCCTACGCTGCTATCGTCACGGAGTCGCGGAAAGTGCTGCTGTGGGACGCTGCGGTAAACCAGGGCACCTGCATGTGGGACGGGCTCCACTTCCAGTCGAGCGAGCCGCAACCCGTGGACAAGAAGGGCCAGGTGGGCACCCTTCAACGTGGCGACGGGCAAGAAATCTTCCAGCTGACGCGGCTCGGCGCCCCGGTGCCCTCAGCTGTCCCCCAATCGATGCGCAGCCGCAAGGTCGCCAGCGGCCATATGAGTCTGGAGGACGAGATCTTCCTGTCGGTGACGTACGGCATGCACCCGTCGCACCTTATTGTGGGCGGTGGGGCGCTGTGGACCCTTGATGCGCGAGAGGGGCGGATGGCCGTGGGGATGAGGCGGGTGGGGAGGGAGACCCTGCTGGAAGTGGGAGTCGACAGACCCAGGCAGGGCGTCTCCGCCCACTGGAGGGACCTCTTCACGGCCGTCGAGAGGCACCCCGGCAAGCCCTACCTTGTGGCGGCTGCATCGGCTGAGACCAACTCGTTGGTGATTGTGGACCTGAGGAAGCTGCCAGTGCCCCTGAAGCAGCTGCCCCTCCCTGCTCTCCGCGTCACTGGTTCGTTCTTCCGTCGACTCGAGTGGACCGAATTGCCCACCGGCCGGAGTCTCGTCACCGCTTTCGCCCCCGCCTACCCATACGTGGTCTGCACGCCGCTTGAGTGCGATGTCCCGCCGTCCGGTGAGGGGCTGTCACGGATTCCCTTCCCCCCGCCCTTCCACATGGCCCAGGGACGCCCTCCCTACCACATGAAGGTGTACCCACAGGTGCACGTGCCGATGGATGTGGGGGGCTCTCGCCGACGGAGCGACTCAGGCAGGTCCACAGCTCTGTTTCGTGGGCTCGTGGGGGCGTGTGTGCTGCCCACGATGAGTGACGAGAGGGGCGACGGATCTCCATCATCACGTGGCAGGGAGCCTGTTGTGTCTGTGCTGGGCGTCACGACAGACGGTGAGTCAAGGAAGACAAGGGGCATGTTGGTCGGTCCGTCAAGAGCGTTCGTGTGATGCTCTCGCCCTCTCTGTGTTGATCAGGTCAGCACATGTGGACGCCGATCTTCGAGTCTCCACCTGACGCTGCCCCACATCCACACTCGGCCTCCTCCAACACACAAGCCACGCAGCCCTCCAAGATGTCAGGCTTGGACAAGCCTGTATACGACGCCGACTACGACCAAGGGCTCCATCCCTCTCCGCCTTTGTCCATCAGCGCGTTGCTGGCGGACATCCCCATGGCTGACGTGCCGCTTCGGCGTCTGTTGCCGCAGCGGGTGCAGCGGCTGCTCAGAGCAATGGAGACGGGGAGCGGTGCCATGGACGGCCAGGAGGGCGACCATGAAGGTGACGAGAGCGACACTGAGGGGCGAGAGTGTTCTGGTGGGGCTGAGGATGACCAACTAGGTGGAATGGATGACACCGGCACTGATGATTGGAAGAAGCGAGTTGCCAGAGCGGTCAGTGGTCACGAGACAGACAGGAGAGAGACGCTTGCCACGCCATTGTCGCTCTTTCTGTATTGCATGGCCATGCAGGACAACTACCTGTTGCGGTATCTGTTGGAGTCCAAACCACACGACACGCCGCTAGAGCTCGTGGCCCAACCACAGCCGATGTCGACCAAGGCTGAGGAGGATGGAGAGGTGAAGAAGGAGGAGCCGCAATCGGAGAGCGACATACCGGCTCGCGCCGGTGATGCTGCCGATGTGCCTGAATGGCTGAAGCGGCTCATGGAACCTGGCAAGCCGGTCCTCCTGTAAGGCCTGTCGCTCTCACTGAGGCATGAGTGGCGTGGGGCTGTGTATGGACTCCTGTGCCTTCTCTGTCGTGCTGCTTCTGTAGGCTAGAAATCCTTAATTCAGCTCGCTCGGCCGGCATAGAGCCATCAGACGTTATTGAAGTGCTCAACCAGCTGTGCTCTGCCGGTGAGCGATCAACGAAGTGTCAGCAAATGTGCCACCTATTGTCTCAAGTTATCTGTGTCCGCGTCAGGCGAGTACACGCATCACCTTGCCTCATGCGGCCTGCTGGACTGCGAGCTGCACACGACCACCGCCATCCCGCAGGAGGAGGACCAGCAGCACCCCACCCCCCTCGCAGCCGCCCCAAACCCCTCCTGGCTCCCATCGCCCTACTGCGCATGCCGCTCCCTCCTCTCGTCTGACCCGCTGGCCGTGCAGCCGTCATCGGCTACAGAGGGAAGAGAGGAGGGCGGCGACGATGCGTGGCCCCTGATCCCTCAGATGGCGTTTGTGAGGCGCCTGCGGAAGGGGATGGCGGAGCGGGGCGAGGGCGGCGTCAAGCTGATCTCTTCGGAGGACCTGTCGGCAGAGATGGTGGCTTCCATGTTTGAGGGATGCCCCGCGCTGCCCGTCACGGAAGGGGCCAGGACAGCAGTCACGGACCACTTGTCACTCTCTGCTCCCGAGTGCGACTTCGGCCCCCCATGCATCACGCCTTTCATGCACTCCTTCGTGCGACGGAGCGACGAGGCAGAAGCCCCGGCGGCACCCCACTCTCCCCTGTCGGTTCCGCCCCTTCTGCATGGCGCACGCATCACCGAGGACACCATAGCCAGCCTCGACAAGCGGTGGCAGATAGTCGACAACACAGCCACACCAGCTGACGACAGCAGCAGCAGCACATGGCCCACGTCGTTGCCGTACCGTCCGGGGCCTCGTGAGTTGGTGCACCGTTATGTGTCTTTGGCGTCGTCTCTGGGTCGTCAGCGTGAGCATGAGGAGCGGCGGAAGGAGACGCTGCAGCAGATAAGGGAGGTGGCCGGTGGGCGGGAGGGGGCCGTCCACGGCAGGGCTGAAACGGGAAAGGGGGTCGCACACGCCTTGCATGCCGACAGGAGGAGAGCCAAGGCGAGGCTGGCCACTCTCTTTGGTGAGTGAGTGGCGTGGAGCGGACAGGTGTAGGTAGGTGATGGGGAAGGGGTGGGATGGCTAGAGTAAGGTATGTTATTGGGTGTAAGGCACTCGCGTCTGTATGGTCTTTCGGTGTACAGTCTGTCCGTCTGTTTGCGTGTCCTGACAGCGCGCTCACTCAGACTGCATGTAAACGTGTGTGTGTGTGCGCGTGTGTGTACAGCCCCACCAGACAGACTGCTCTCTCAGACTGCGCGATTGATATCTCAGTAGTAAATTTCACGGCTTAAGAGTCCGAGTAACGTAAGACCGAGCAGTGAATTGTCCGTTACTTGCCCCATGCAGGCAGGCAGGGAGGCAGGCAGATGGACACGACGCACGCACAAAACGTGACCTCACCTAATGGCCCCAGATCCGGTTCACGAGATGCACACGTCCACATGGCCATTCAAACCCATCGTGCAGCTCAACCGAACCACACCCATCGTCAAGACCATACGCAACCACTCATTCAATCCTCTAAAGGGTGTCCCTGGGTAACTCCGACACTTTTGGCCAGCTCCAGCGCCTCAGCCACGATAAAGGAACCCAGCTGGTGATGCTGCGGCCACAGGTCCGGGTCGATCACAAAATTTGTGCGCAAGCGGCCGGCATAGCTCACAAACATCAGCTGGGGCACCAGATTGGGGTACACCACCTGCAATCACACAATGGGTCGCTGTGCATGGTCGTCTTCCCGGCCCCCGCCCTCTCACCTGCACATCATGGACAGGCTTGTCGCAGAAGGTGCACAGCTCTTTTGGCCCAGGGACGTTGGACACCACCAGGGAATGGCGCGAGAAGAGGTCGAGACACGTTTTGCTGGTGAACCACCAGGGCGCCACGGGGCCGACCGTCGCCATGAGAGTGTACGTTGCCATCTGCTGATGACGAGTCTTCAGCCGGGCTGTCGTCTGCACCCAGTTAACATTAATTCCAAACGCGGACAGAGTTGGAGCGTTACGTGGTGGGCGTTGTGTGTGTGAGTCACCTGTGCCATTTGTCTGAGCCTGTCCTTGGGGTCCGCAATGTGTATGGGCAGCTGTGTCGACACGAGTACAAACCCATTCCGCAGCACCCGGTCGGCCGGCACATCCTCGTCCAAGGACCTGAAGTTTACAACATTGCGCCAGGCACACACATAGACACACATAGACAGACAGACAGACAGACAGCGAGTGAGAATCAAATCAGCAAACATGTACGAGTTGACTGCTACCTTGGCAAGACCATGGCGGTGAGGGACCGAAGGAGGGTTGTGCCGTCCTCAGACTGCGTCAGGGGGTCGCCCACAAGACTACCATACCTATCCACCACCCAGCCCAGCCGGCCACCCAAAGATGTGCCAATTTTCGCCTTGCTGTCCTGCATTTCAGTCACACACCGCCTCAGCGCGCCAGTGAGGATAGTCAGCAGCACATCCGTGAGGGACACGCCGCCCACGGCACTCTTGACGGCTTTCAGGTACGACAGTCGCAAAGGGGGAAACGTAACCAACTGCATGACATACGCATCGATCAACCCAGACAGCACACCACAGCGTGTGAAGTAAGTGACAGAGGCGTCGATTGGTGTGTCCATGTTCCGGTGTGTGATCGGGCAAGGTCGCCTACCTTTCGCCGCCCATACTTGAGATTCTTCCTCCGATCCAGCGACCCATTGAAGTAAAAGTCGCTGTCGAACCGACCCATCGAGTCGCCAAGAGCGGCCACCACAGCTTTGGAGAACTGGAAGACGCCCATCGCCCACTCCACCCACGTGCGTTTCATTCTGCCGGTCACCAGCCCCGGTGCAAGCGGCTCCACTTTGGTCCACCTGCTGTCGTCTCCCGACACCTCTGACGCCTCTGTTGCCTCTTTCGCCTCTGTCACCTCGCTCTCGTGAGCATCTCCGTCTGCGGCGTCGATGGATGGTGCTCGAGTGTCTCTCCTGATACCAATGAGGTCGGGCAGCGGCAGCACTTGGCCGTTCTCCGCCTTGATAAAGCCACAACGGTGGAGCAGCATGAGGATGCCCAGCCCGTCAGCGATGGAGTGGTCGATGCGAATCAGCAGGCAAGACGACGATCCCTCGGAGGAGTCTGCGGCAGCCATGAGGTGCACCTCCCACCGGGGGCGGCTCGTGTCGAATGGCCGGTCCATGAGTGCCTCGATTGCCTTGTGAAGATCGTCTGCCGATTGGACGGTGTGCTCTGTGAAGTGGTCTTGAACCGTCACCTCCACCTGGCGCCAGCGCCATCCCAAAGGCACAGACCTATGAGTGGACAAACGGCAGCAGGTGTTGTGTACTGGGTGCGGCGTACGCACCTCATTCTTTCGTAGCCTCGTGTTCGGAGCAGATGTGAGTCGAACAGGCTCTCCAAATCGGTCTTGAGTGGCAGGCTTCTCATGTACAGGCACACGTTGATCGTCGTGCACGGCACATTTGCCTCCTGCAGGCATGCCATGCCTCCCGGTGGGGTGGGTGGATACCCGTGTGTGGTGTGGTCTCTACATTGCAGACCTGTGGGAAGAAGCCTTTGCTCAAACTCCAGCTCACTATGCTCTGCAAAACAGGCAAGCAGATGTAGTCAACATTGCAACAGTCCATCTCAGCCTCTCCCCTCCTCACCATTTGCCTCTGGAAAGGAACTGGACTGGCCTCGCATTGTGTGGCAGCTCCGGCCGTTGCTGACATCGATGGTCAGCGCACGGGAAGGGGAAGGGGGGTCTCACTGACTGGTCACTGACGTGGGCTTAGGCTTCGTCAAACGTTTCCTCATGTATCCGTTTTGTTGAGCGCGCGCCTCTCCCGGCCTGAACCGATACTTCGTTTCAAAAACGAACACACCAGCCGGCTGGTGCAAGAAACTTGGCTCGAGAGCAGCAGCCGCACACTCAACTGGTGAGAGCAAACAGGAATGATGCATCGCATCGCATCATGCAGGTGTGCAGCAACTCGGGGCTCTCTGGCCTTGGTGTGTGTGCTGTGTTGCAGCCCAGCCTGGGGGGGTCGGGGGTGCCTATCGACGGATGAGTGTCACACGTCACGTCTTGCCTTTTGACTGAGCATCTGTAGCTAGCCTGCTTGCCTTGACATGACGGCCCTGCTGACCGAGAACAGCAACCGCCTGCAGGACCTGCACATCATACCCAGGCTGCCAGGTCAAATCCTCACACCCGCACCCGTCTCTTCACTGACACACAAACACACAAGGAATGAAATCCTCATGTCATTTGTTGCCTCTCTCTCTTTCTCCCTCTTTGTGTGTGTGAAACAAACAGGTTTGTTTGATTCATCGCCGGCGAGTTCGAGTCATTCAGTGTATCATGCGGGCAGCTCGAATGGCGGCAGCCCGCACATGGGTACGTCCAATGGGGCGTGTGCGGGACCCATGGCCGGCAGACAACACATGGCAGCCATCGCAGCGCATAATGCTGCACAAACAGCAGCAGCAGCAGCAGCAGCAGCAGCAACGGCCGCAGCGGGCAGCGGGCAGAATGGCACTCCCCCTGCCCAACACAGCCAGCAGCAACAGCAGCAGCAGGACGCGCACCAGGCCAAACAGATCGATCAGTTCTGGAAGGTACTGACGTCAATGTCACTCTGTCACTCACTCACTCACTCACTCACTCAGTCAGTCAGTCAGTCATCACTCGTCGCATCACTCACTGCTCTTTGTTTGCTTGCTTGTGTGTGTGAGTGTTTGTTTGTTTGTGTGTTTGTTTGTGTGTTTGTCTGTCTGTGTGCAGACCAAGTTGTGTATCCCATTCCAGAAGGGTCGATGCAAGCGCGGTGCCCAGTGCTGCTATGCACACGGAGGTCAGCCCAGCCACTGCACTGACCCAAAACTCACTAAGCTAAGCGTCCGTCATGCCATGCTCCACCCCTGTGCTGTGTGTGCGGCCGTCTGTCTGTCTGTCTGTTCATCCATCGATCTGTCTGTCTATCAGAGGCGGAGCTCAACCCGGCGGTGAATCTGCAGAAGACCAAGATGTGCGAGCGGTTCCTCAAGGGATTCTGCAGAAATGCCAACTGCACATTCGCCCACGGTGGGCCGGGTCGGGTCGGGTCGGGAGGGGAGGGGAGGAGCTCACGCAGCACAGACAGAGACGTCTGATACTTGTTTGTGTCCGCCCGGATGATGCATGCAGGTGAGCACGAGCTGCGAGCCACTCCCGACTACTTCAAGGTGAGAACCGTCCGTCACACCTGCACACTTGTTTGTTTGGGTCACCCACCCATGGTGTATGTGTGCGTGTTGCGTGTGGTTTGCAGACCGACCTGTGCAAGTATTGGAAGCAAGGGCACTGCCCGGCCGGTCCCAACTGCCGTCACGCCCACGGTCTGTCTGAGCTGAGACAGCGGTCCTACCGCCGCACTGAGCTGGAGAAGAAGGCCCTCGCGCAAAAGAAGGAGCTGTCAGACAAGGACAAACAGCACAAGACAGGGGTGTCCGACAAGGAGACCCCCGCGGCCGCGGACCTGGCCACTGCAGCTGGCGGCATGGTGCCTGGCATCCCGTCACTGGCAGCGGCCATGGGCACAGTGCAGCCCACCGGCGGCGCCCCCTCCCTCCCCTCCTCCCCCTCTCGCCCGCTGCACCAGACACTCGCACTCGAGAAGAGCGTCAGCAATGCCTCCACCGCCCCCCCTCCCCCTGCCACATGCGTCTCACCCATGGCACTGCTGCCCGCTCCATCGGCACCACCATCCAAACACCGCCCCACGGTCCCCTTCCTGACGGCCGGCAACCAGCCCCCTCCACCTGCGCTCACGCCCCCCCTACAGAGCCCTCTCAACGGCCCGCTGCACGCACCGCTCGCCGTGGCCCAGGCAAATGGCCAGGCGCCCTTGCTGCCCACACCACCGCCGTCTCAGTCGTCGCCATTCCACTCGTTTGCTGCCGATAGTGCTGCGTATGTGGGCGCTGGAGGGTCGCCTGGCCTGCTGCCGACCCCGAAGAGTCCGTATAGCGCTCAGGGGAAGGAGCCCGGCCTTTTGGTGACGCCGCCTGCTGCTGCTGGGGGTGCCCCTCAGAGACCCCTCTCGGCTAGCAGCGACCAGCCGATTGGGTAAGTGAGACAGTGACACAAGCACGATTGATTGCAATTAGTTGGCATGCAAAGGGATTGGTGATGTGATGTGATGTGGCATGTTGACGACAGGTTGGACGAGTCTGGCCCATCATGGATGGCGACCCTGGCCCGCAGCCGTGCATCGGATCCCCACCCCCCTCCCGTCCCCGTGCCGGCCCCCCCGACCGACCCGCCCGGCGAGCGTCTGTCGGCGTCTCGTCGGGTGGCGTCGCAGTCCACGGCCCGCTCCCAGCGTCGGAAGAAGTCCGACCTCGACCCGCTGGATCCCGTTTTAAAGGATCTCGATGACACATCCAAGCAGCTGGTCGACAACCTCCTCAAGGACGACGAGAGTGTCGAAGACGAGGAGGACGACGAGGGGTCAGAGCGGCTCAACGCGTCGCTGCCGTCGACACCGCCCGCGCCGTGCATCGACGGGGGCGAGTCGATCGTGCGGCGTTTCCAGAAGTCGCCCATGAAGGCGCACATCGAGAACGCCTTGCCGCTGGACGTGCCGCTGCTGCTGGGGCTGCACTGCCCCAGTACAGTGGCCAGGAAGGAGGGGGAGGGGGACGGCACGACGAGCACACCTGAGGGCATCGAAAGAGAGTCGCTCAAGACCTCCCTTACCCTTCAGGAGGTCTCCAGTGCGGCCGACATGCTCCTGGAGCCGGTGTCTGTAGCCCCGGCCTCGCCCCTGTCGCTCGCCCCCACAGCACCACCACCCGTCGCAGCAGACGTTCCATCCTCCGAGGCGGCCGCCAACAAAATCGTGGGGACCGGATCGACTGGAGAGCCGTCGTCTGCTGCTGGGGGCGCCCTGCTGGCCACGGACACGGCGTCTCCCTCTGTCCGTCAGGCGCCGTATCAGCCCCCGATCGACGCGCTGCTGGCGCTGGCGGGGGGAAGGGGTGGGGAGGGGGGAACGGGTGACGCTGCTGACGAGGCGTCTGCACCCGACAATCCGCCGGCGGGGTCATGCTCCTCATCGCAGCAGCAGCAGCAGCTGTGTGGGTCGAGTGCTGCGACGGTGAGCACGTGGTCCAACGGCAGTCCGAGCGAGACGGGTAGTTTCTGCTACAGCCACAGCCACAGCGGCTCGCTGGCATCGCTGTACAAAGCCGCCGCCGCCGCCGACCCACACAGCAGCAACGCCATCCGCAGCAGCAGCAGCCCCTGCTTCTACAAGACAGCCCAGGGCGGCGGCGCCATCCCCAAGTGCAGCAGCAACGGAGACCTCGCCCCGCAGCAGGCGGCAGACAGCAGCGGCGTCATGGCCCCGCCCAACACACTGCTGACCGACGCCCCGACCGATGACGTCCCCTCGCCGATTGCTGGCGGGCGGGCGGAGCGGAAGGAGTCGCTCCTGCCTGACGTGCAACAGCTCATCCGGGCGGCATGGCAGGCGCCCCCAGAGGAGGCCGCCGCCCAGCCGGCGGGTCCGTCGCTGCCCCACCCCCAGTCCGACCCCTCGTTCGACGTGCAGGCCACTTCCCCACCCCTGTATGGCGTCACGGGGCCACTGAGCCCACCCACCGCTGCCATGAACTTCCTCACCAATGGCCATGGGCAGGACGACATCCGCACGGCCGGCAGCGGGATGACTGTCGTCACACCCACCACCACCACTCGGGCCGGAGGCACGGCAGCGGTGTGCACGGGCATGGCCGTGGTGGCGGCCGTGGCGTTGCGGCACCCGCAGCGAGACATGGTGCTGCGGCCAGAGGAGGGCATCCTTGGCGAGGCTCCCAAGGCCGAGAAGCTGTCGTTCGAGCAGAAAGGGGAGCTGTCGCCGCTGCTGCCCACTCCCACCATCCAGCCCAACCTTGGCTTCCCGCAGCCGCCCCCACCCCCCACCCGGCCTCCCCATCTTCGGGGCGGTGCGCGCTGCAATGGCGGTCGGGGTGGAGTCGGGCGGGGGGATCGGAAGGTGGGGCTGATGGACGAGGGCGCGCCTGTGTATGCCATGTATGCGGCTGGGGGCTGTGGGCTGGGAGGGAAAGTGCCTTACCACAAGGCGCACCACTGACTGACTCTCTGAGGCAGGGAGGAAGGGATGGATGAAGGGTGACTGACCGCTGCTGTTGCTGCTGCTGCCTTGGCGTGGTGTAATGTGCCTTGTCTGTCTGTCTGTCTCGCCTGCCGCCTGTGTTTGTGTGATATGAGCTGCCGTTGATGTGTTGTGCTGAGGTGTGGTGGGGTGATGGCGGGAAACAGCCGCGATGAAGGCTCACTCACGGCACAGCTTAGAGGAGACTGATGATGATGGCGAAAGACATAAATAAGGGGCTTGAGGCTGGTGGCTTGGCTGACTGGCGGGAGGGTTGCTCCTCGCTACTGTCTGCTGTCTGGTAGAACACTGTCTTTTCTTCAATTCATGGGTGTCTGTCTGTGTGTGTGTGTGTGTATGTGTATTGTCAGTGGGGGAAGCAGCTGGGGCTGGGGGCCATTTGTGCGTGTGCGCGTGTGTGTGCGTGCCTGCATTTGCACGCACGTTTGGATGGCTAGCGATAGCGCTGCTGACGGTGGATGGATGGGATGGCTGGATTGGGGTCACTGTGGGGCCCCGGAGGGATCCATTTCGCGAACGCTTACATGTACTCCACCCACATTCACATCACGCCCACGGCACCACACAGCCCCACTCCACTCACAAGCCATCCACACGCCCCGCCCCTGTCTTTTCTCCTGCCCCCTGCGCGTGCCTTTGTTTGCCTGATGAATGACACCTGCTGCTGCTGGCTGGCCGTAGAGATGGATGCCGTGTGAGAGTGCGCGTGTGGGTGTGGGTGTGCGTGTGTACGTGTATCTCTATGTGCGTGCTCCCGTGTCTTTAGTGCCGCGCTGCTGATGCTGTCTGTCTGTCTGTCTGTCTGTGTTTCCATTATGCTGATGCTACCCTGCTGCTGATGTCAGCTGACGTTGATGGTGACGGTGGTGCCAATGGTCGATCGAGCTGGTAAGGAAAGAAGCATGTTTTGGTGGCTGGGCGGTGGGTGGAGACAATGAGAGGCGGTTGGCTGGCTGGGTGGTTGGCTGGCTGCTGACGAAGTCTAGGAGTGTGTGCAAAACAGTGGCCTCGTTGGAGGTGTTCTGCGACGGACGGATACGGTTGGTTGGTCTTGGTTGGTGTCGGTGTGTTCTATACTCACTGCTTGCCTGTTTGCCTGATTGCCTGTTTGCCTGGCTGCCTGGCTGCCTGGTGTGTGTTCGTAATCTACGTACGCTCGTACAATGTGTCCTTGTCGCTGTGGGGGGCTGGGAGGGAGGGAGGGAGGGAGGGGTGCTGTGCGCGGGCTTAGAAGGCCCCTCTGCTGGCTGACTGACGGCGAAAGCGATGGATCGGACTGACTGACAATCGGATGGATGGATGGCTAACAAAGAGAGGGTGCTTTAGTGTCTGATGGATCGATGGATGGATGGACACAACGCCGAATGCATGATGGACCCACCTCTCTCTCTCTCTCTCTCTCTCCTCGTTTCTTCCCTCCCACTCCACTAGCCTGGTGCCTGCCCTGCCTTTTCCTCCCTCCCTTAACTCTCCCCTGGTGCTGTGCCTGTCTCTCTGTCGTCCATTCCATCCCACCCCATGTCGTCTAGCTGGATCAGATCGTGTCGTGTGTGTGTGGGCGTGATGTGCATACAGATTAGATGCGCGCAGCGATGCGGCTGCCACCCTACGTGCCACGAACCAACACCTACCAGACAGGCAGGCAGGCAGGCGGACGGACGGACGGACGGACGGACGAATGGAGGGACGGACATGCAGACAGACCAGACACAGAAATGGAGCGAGGGAGGTTGATACCGACTCACAGACACAGAGGGAGGACGGAGGCGGCGACTAGAGGTCCCATGCTATGCTGACTGACGGATGGACGGGTGCTGGACGATTGGCGCGTCAAGTGTGTCTTGTGAAGGGGACCCTTTTTCGAGTCGTGCTCGTGGGTGGGTGGGTGGGTAGGGGTAGGGGGGGGGGTCGTCTGTGAAGGATGGCTGGATGGATGTACGGTTGGTTGTCATGGGTGTTGCTGAGGGGCTCGCATCTGCTGCTAGGTTGGGGAGGCAGCGTTGGATGGGGGATGGATGGGTGAGGCAAAGAGGGATGGATGGATGGACGGACGCGTGTGTCTGGCGTGCTTCTTTTTCTTGCCCGCAACTCCTCTCTGCACGTCACGCCACCCTCTCCCTCCCTCACTGACTCCCTTTCTCCCTCCGTCCGTCCCTCTGGCTTGTGTGTGCTGTCATGCCAGCTATCTGGCAGCTTTTGTACGGTCTCAATTGTACCACTCTGCCCATGCAATGCCTGCACAGCATTACGTGCGTATTTGTTTTTGCCCCTTTTTGGTTGCAAGCGTTTGCGGACCTCTTGCTTGCTTCCTAGTCACAGCACGACGGCATTCCGACGGCTGGCGGATTGGTCGGCCGGCCGGCCATCGATCTCCCGCTGTCTCGCCCCTCCCTCTATCCCATCCCCCTCCTTCGGTCACCTCGTTTTTCGTGTGTATGTGTGTGTGTGGCACACACAGCATACGACGGACTTTGACTGACAAGACGAGAGTAATAAATGAGACTCTCGTAGGCGCCCTGCCTCTCTGGTGTCGCTGTGCTGTCTGGTGGGCGGACGTGTGGGTGGGTGCAGGGGCTGGTTTTGGCGTCCATCTATATCTCTGTCTGTGTCTGTCTGTCTGTCTGGTTCGGTTCGGCGGATGGGTGGGCAGGGCATGTGTGTGCGCCGGGTCGTTTTGGTTAAGCCAAGGTATGAGGGATCCCTATCTATCTATGTATGGACAGTTTTGTTTCTGCCTGTCAGTCTGTCTGCCCGCCTGCCTGCCGTATTAGCTAGTGGCAGTCGTGGCTGGCATCTGCCGATCTCTCTCTCTCTACCTACGGCCGTCTTCTCTGTCTGTCTGTCTGTCTGTCTGTTCCTCTTTTGCACTGCATTCATTGCTTTGCTCAAGGCAAAGGACGAGTAGCCGCACACACGCGCACGCAGGCGAAAGGTGATGGTCTGTCTGGATGGATGGATGGGGGATGGTCGAATGACTGACTGCAGGGGGGGAGTGAGTTTAGTCTCATGACTGCATGCTTGCATGCCATGCATGGCCATCCATAGAGCTATCTATGGTGGCACCACACACACCCATCACCCACCATGCGTCCACACACACACACACACACACAACCAACAAAGCATGAGCCACGGAGATGAGGGGCGGGCTTTCATGGTACACATCATTCATTGATTTGTTGATTTTCGTCCCATCCCTGCCTGCATCCCTGAATCCCTGCACAATCCTTTAACCTTGATTCGATTCATCCTTCCTCTGCATGCCCTTCTGCGTGCTGCTTGCTTGCTTGTTTCTGCTGTCAGTTTTGTTCCTTTGGGGTGGTCTTGCTGTGTCCATCATCTATCTCCTCCTGTGCTGTCTGCATGGATGGCCCCACCCACAGTATGGCAGCCATACTATCCCGGTTTTGTATCCGCCCTGCCCTGCCCTGTCTGTCTGTCTGTCTGTCTGTGTTGTGTTGTGTCGACAGTTTTGCTATCGTAGGCCGGATGGGTGTTGTGGGTGGGGACACAGGCGTATCTATCTATCGTGTTTCGTTGTCCGTTGTCTTGTGTTGTGTTTGGTACCAGCCAGCGATTGATTCCTCCCCTACCCCCCGCCCTATTGCCTGCCTGCCTGCCTGCCTGGGATCATGACCGTGGCTCTTTTTTGTCCCGCATGCGCCCTGAGCACACACATGCCATGCCATGCCGCCCCGCCCACAGGACAGACGCACCCATCCATCCATCCAGATGTTCACACGCTGCCATTTTTGTTCCCTGCTTGAGTTGCGCTGCGTTCGTTCGTCCCACTCACCGTATTGTGTTGGTGTTGTGTGTGAGGTCTGTGTCCAGTTTTGCAGCTGCCTGTCGTTCAGGGGAGGGAGGAGGGATGACGCACACACGTGAGCAGAAAAGACAGACAGCAGAGAAAGGAAGGAGTGCATGCGCCGTGAACTCACTCGCCACTGCCTGCGTGAGGCAGCAAAAAGGCCTCTTTGAATTACTTTGCGCATGACATGCGCCGCCCTCAATCACTCACTCGTTGGCTCTTGCTGTGTTGCTTTTGTTACTTGTTGATCGATCAAGAGAGGAAGACTCTTTTGCCTGCCTGCCTGTGTGCCGAACCCATCCATCCATCAATCCATCCATCCACACACACAACCTGCTGTGCTAACCGGTCCTCACACATACCTGCACCTGATGCCTACCTGACGCTTGCCCTGAGATGTTTGTGTGTGCGCATGCTATGCCTGCCTTCGTGTGCTGTGCGTGGCTGCCCGCCCATACCTGACTGACTGGTGACCTGATTGACGAGCAGGTGATCCATCCATCCATCCGTCCATCCATCCATCCATCCGTCGGTCGTTGCCTGGTGCCTGATTTTTGCGGCTATGCTATCTATCGCTCTCGATACATGCTATGCTATGCTATGCTATGGTTGCCACTACCTACTCTTCTCGACTGGGGTGCTGGATTTTTGGCCAGCTGCCTCCTGCCTGCCTGCCTGCCTGCTGCCGATGGGTGGGTGGGCGGACGGACGGACGACCAAGCCTTACACTGATGGCTGCATGGCTGTGTTCGTACGTGCATGGCATGACTTCCCTCCGCATCGATCATCTATCTATCTGTCTGCCTGGGCTGGCTGGTTGCTCTCTATGACATCTCTCTCTGTGAGTGAGGACACACCTACCTGTCAGTCCGTCCAGGACTGACCTGACCTGCTGACGTACGTGTGTGTGCTGGCGGCGTGTAGGAGCTGATGGCGTGTACGTGTGCGTAAACATGTGCAGATGCTATGCGGTGTACCGGCTGGTACGTACCTACCTACCTTAGATCGGTAGCTAGCTACGATCGGGTCGGGCGACACACCGGCCCGGCCTGTTGACCTCCCTGCCTGGCCTGGCTGCCTCGCCCTTGTTTCTCGATAATGATGGATCTTTCATCATGTATGTCTGTCTGTCTGTCTTGTCTATATGGCTTGTTTCTACTTAAGTGATGTGCACGTAAGCTACCAGCTCTGCCTACCTTCTGCCTACAACTAAGAACACCTCTCAGCGCTCGACCCGGCCACCATCAAGAAGCTGTCTGTCCATCCATCATGGCCATGATGGAGTCAAGGGAAGTCTATACGGGTAGACAATCAATATTACTGGATATTATAGCGACCTACCGTCAGTCAGTCAGTCAGTCAGCATAGCACAGCAGGGGGGAGGGAGTGGGAAGGGGAGGG